CGGTAAGGCCTGGTTTCCACACTGCCTTCATTTCATTCCGTTCCATTTCACTTTTAATTTGTAGAGCACCTTTCTATATTACTATGCACAAGGTGGATTTGCAACAACCAAGTATACAGCAAAGATCACACACCTTATAATAATCAGATCCAATACAAAAAAGTCATGATAAAAACTTGACTTTACAATAAAAATATCAAATAAAGTAATATTCAATAATACATTAGAATATAATAAAAGGTAAAGGTACCCCTGCCCGTACGGGCCAGTCTTGACAGACTCTAGGGTTGTGCGCCCATCTCACTCAAGAGGCCGGGGGCCAGCGCTGTCTGGAGACACTTCCGGGTCACGTGGCCAGCGTGACATCGCTGCTCTGGCGAGCCAGAGCCACACACGGAAACGCCGTTTACCTTCCCGCTAGTAAGCGGTCCCTATTTATCTACTTACACCCGGGGGTGCTTTTGAACTGCTAGGTTGGCAGGCGCTGGGACCGAACAACGGGAGCGCACCCCGCCGCGGGGATTCAAACCGCCGACCTTTCGATCGGCAAGCCCTAGGCGCTGAGGCTTTTACCCACAGCGCCACCCGCTTCCCCTTAGAATATAATAGTACACAGTAAAATTAACTCTCAAAATACCAGCAAATAATAATTAAACAAAAAATTCACCCTTAGCAATTCCATTGAATAATTTCTAAAGTATAATCAATAAAAATAACCATCTCACAGCGCATAAAATACCACAGTACATACAAAGGATCAAACTGAGAAACAAAGACACACAACCTATGACAATATTTTAAAAAATAACAATCCCTGAACTCTTCTCCCTTCCCAGCTACTTCAGAAACATGGCTGGGGTCATCCTAACAATTACACCCAGGTCCCTCGTGCAACATGTAAATTTTCTATATAAACCTCTCTGGTGACATGTATCCTTGTGGAATAAACATGATCAGCCTAGTACATAATTTCACCTTAATGATACCAGTGGATGATATATGTTACCCATAGTAGCTGTAGAAGTAATTGTAGTGAGGACATGTTGTTGGATAGCATATAAACCCAGAAATGCAACACTAAATTATCCTCAGATAATCAACAACAACCACAAATTCAATTGTTGGTCTTGAAAACTTAAGAAATAAGACTCCAATATAAAACTCCAATACATACACAGTGAATAAGGCTAAATAATATGCTAAAAGTTTAAATACTATATAATTGTCATAAAACAATTACCCAATACAATAAAAGCCCCAGTGTAAACTAATGGAAAAACCACTTGAAACTGTCAGATGTCTAGTATGATGTTATGCTGGTTCTTTCCATTTAGTGCTTTCTTGCAAGTTTTGGGGGTAATTTTATGGAATAATGCTTGCATTTTTTGTGTTAGTGTGTTTTTCTGGTAAACTGCATAGAGATTTTTTATTAAGCGGTATAAAAAAGAAATTATAAATCAGTAATCATACTTCCTCCCTCGCTACTGTGGCTTGGGGCTGCTTTGGAGCTGAGCTGATCAGTCCCCCTCTCTCCTACTTACTGTAGTATATTCCACCCTCCCCTAAAGTGAGCTATTTAAGTAGAGGCATTAAGCAACAGAGGTCAGGAGGTTAATTAAACATGCAAGGGCTGAAATCGTATTACTCTTAAAAAGCAGAGCTGAGCAAATGGCTATTGGCAAGGTGGCCTTTGTGTTGCTGATGGGAGATCACACAAGCACACAAAGCCAACATAGAGGTGGACTTTCTCTTAGAACAGATTGCTATACAGTGGTACCTTGATTTACTAACTTAATCCGTTCCAGAAGTCCATTCTTAAACCAAGGCGTTCTTAAACCAAGGCGTGCTTTCCCATAGCAGCGGGGGACTCAGTTTACAAATGGAACACACTCAACATGTTCTGCTTCCAAGGCAAAGTCCACAAACCAAAACACCTACTTACGGGTTTGCAGCGTTCTTAATCGAAGTTGTTCATAAACTAAGCTGTTCTTAAACCAGGGTACCACTGTATATCTCAGTGAAATGTAGGTATGATTAAATGCTTGCACCTTTCAAAATTAGCTCTCATTGGTGGTTTTTATAGATCAACATGGTTTAGAAGAAGCCACTACCCAAATAGAAATCTAGGGGTTTTTGGCAGTAGTTGGGGTGGTAGTGGTACATTCTTAGCATTTGATTTTTAAACTAAATTTCTCCCTGAAGGTTTTATTAAACAATATATACCATTGTATTTGGGGGCTTTACAACGTGCTCTGGCCCAATATTTGCTTGCAATAATATGATAAAAGTCCAGTGCCAAGGGCCTTCTGGCGGTTCCCTCACTGCGAGAAGTCAAGTTACAGGGAACTAGGCAGAGGGCCTTCTCGGTAGCGGCACCCGCCCTGTGGAACGCCCTCCCACCAGATGTCAAAGAGAAAAACAACTACCAGACTTTAGAAGACATCTGAATGCAGCCTTGTTTAGGGAAGTTTTTAATGTTTGACGGACTATTGTATTTTAATATTTTGTTGGAAGCCGCCAGAGTAGTTGGGGAAACCCAGCCAGATGGGCGGGGTATAAATAATAAATTATTATTATTATTATTATTATTATTATTATTATTATTAATTGACTGGCCACCTGTTAAAAATCTGCTCCTTAGCAACCACAGTTTATCTCACATTAAAATGTCTAGCAACATTTGTAGAGGCACTCATTCTTGAGCTCTGGTGGGAACCCAGTAAAGCACTTTCACATTTGAGAAACTGGAGTGAAGGACTTATCCACATTACAAAAATGCATCTTCTTTGCTTTCTTTCTCACAATCCTAAAACCTTCCCATGTTGTGTTATAATGCCTGCATGCTTTGTTGCATATAAATGCATGGAGAGGAAATTTCTGAAGAGTGAGAAGTAAAGAAAGGTTCATAGAGAGCTGAGTTTTAAAACCTCGTGACACGCATCCTGCCAAGTCTAACCCTCCTCCAAGATTGCTATATATGGCAGTGGGGAGGTTTCTGCATACTGGGAAAGGGGGAAAGTGTCGGATAGGGCCTGAGAGTTACTTTCTGTTTGCCTATTGTGCTCTGGTTTGGAAACACACAGTTTATATATGCAGTAGAGTACTCCCAGTCTAGATGATGATAATGGGACAAAGGAGTGGATATGTCCCATCCCGCCCGCCCCCCCCAGTGTGTAGATTCCAAGTTCTTTGGTGTATAAATATTAAAAACGAACATGACTGTACCTCAGTAAAAAGATCTTTCATTTCTTCTAGATAATATTCATGCCCAGAGTTAAGCCAATATCTAGAACATCTTCCCACCCTTTCCTAACCACTTCATTCATCCTGATGTAGTCTGTGTAAATCAAAAACTTGCATGTATTTCACATCAAGTTGGTGATCCAGTAAAATACATGATTATCTTCTTTTTTGTATCTTTGTGATTCTCATCGCTGCCCCTCCCCTTGACTAACTTCCTAGTGATGTGAAGCGTTTTCCGCTTTACAGAAAGGGTGAGCAGGAATAATTTGGAGGGAGAGCACAAAAAGAATCATGCAAATGCACAATGGTTTTGCCAGGTTCATGGAGTATGGAGTTGTGGGATCCTGTTCTAGCCCAGACTGAGAGGAATGCTCTGAGGAATTCCAGCCTCACTGTTGGCAAGAAGAAGCTGCATCATCATCAGTTCATTGCAGCTCTGGGGTGTGTAACTAAACAATGCCTGCAGAATCTCTAAGCTGCTCTGGCTTGGCTAAAAGAGCATTCCTACTGAGCTTTTAGGCAGCTTTCAGTGCTGTTTTTAGTCCTTGAAATATCCTTGGAAAGTTTGCATAGGTTTCTTAACGCAAAGAGATCCATGCCCATCCCTGGAGATACAACGCAAATGAACCCTATCATAAACCGCCTGAGAGCACACGGATGCATTTAAATTAATGACTAGAGCATCCTGGTTGTTTCTTGATTTTCATACTTGTTGAAGCTTTTCTGAGGGATTGGGTATAGGATAGATTTCTAGTATTCAGGTACATTTAGGGAGAGAAGAAGGGGATATAAATCCCCCCAAAAAGGAATGAATTCAAAAGGAAGTGGTGTTACCAACGTGTTGCAGATGTGGTCTGTATCGTAAATGCTGCATAGCGTATTAAGAGGTTAAAGGAAGGTCCGTTTGTGTGCCATAACTCTTCAGGAGCACAGAAAAGGTGCAAAATGGGTTCAGTTTCCTGAGATTTTTCCACTTTCAATTCTAAGAGTGGCTAGCCCTTAAACAGAGAAGGTGCATTTGAAAATGGATGGGCAGTGCCTTCTGAAAACTCAATACAGTCAGGTGTTCCACAAAGACGGCCTACATTTTAATTGCATCCTAGTGCCATTCAGTAATAAAGGCAAGAGTCCTGCAAGGGTCTGAGTACATCATATCTCTGTCTGCCTCTCTTTTCATCCCCAACCACATTTAAAATCTGTGTTTTATTCTTGCTATGTGGTATTCATGCTACTAGCTTTTTTATTAGTTTTACTTTGCTTTTTTTAAATTTAACTGCATTTTTAACAAAACGTGTCAGTATTGACAAGGATTGTTTGAGCTCATAAATATTGCTGTTAGACATTTATAATGTGTGAAATAGTGTGAAAGAATTCATTGCCATTATTTTAAACAGTAAACTGATTTTGCTGTTTGTAGTAAGTGCATCTCTTAATTCCAGTTGTCATATAATAAGGAATTAACCCTAATAGAGAAACAACACATATTTGATTATTTGCTGTTTGTTATTCCAAGAATCAATCTTTGTTACAGTTCTATTAGAGGAGTGCTTTAGGTATTTGACTGGTCAAATTTTTACATATTTTTTGACTGGTCAAATGTTAAATCCTATTCCACTTTTAATTTTTCAGGGCTGAGACCAGGCACTGGAAACAGACTGCAAGACCAAATATACTAATTGTTGCTAAACAATTTGTGAGGAGAATCCCATGTGCATGTTCCAATGTTTAGTTATTTGTATATATGTGTTTGTTAACAGAATATTCTCCTTCCTGGATGTGGTCACGCTATGCCGTTGCGCTCAGGTCTCCAGGGTAAGAATGTTTGCAAACTAGTACTGGTAAGGTTTTAATTGCTTGTCTCTTGGGCACCTCCAGTTTGTCATCATATCCCAGAGCCAAGAAAGTGTCAGCTTGAAGGAATATTTGAACAAAGGCCCCATTTGTGCTATATATTTAAAGCATACCACTTTAAACAATCATTGCTTCCTTCAAAGATTCATGGCAACTTATGTTTGTTAAGGGTGCTGAAAACTGTTATTCTTCCCTTGCAGAGCTACAGGTGTCATAGTGGTTTCACATTCAATTCCTCTTCCCAAAGAACTCTGGGAATAGTAGCTCCATGAAAGGAATAGGAGTTCATCCTATCAACTCTCAACACCATTTACAAACTACCCAGGGTTCTTTGGGAGAAGCCATAACTGTAAAAAGTGGTATGATGCTCCTTTAATTGTACAAGTTCAGAGACATAGAATGCACATCCTCCCCACAGGTTGTATTCCCCACTCACCTTTTTTTTTTAAAAACTTTTCTTTTCTTGTAATATTACCTGCTGAGGTCTGTCTTAGTTTCAACCAGCCAGATCTAACTGGGTGGAGTTTTACTATTTTGAGATTTTCAAATAGCCTAGGATAGAGATTCACAAAGACATGTTATATGTTTCTGCCAACTGCCCTATACTGAATAATGGGGTAAAAAGTTATCACTATAGCAAAAGGGAAGGTCCCTAACCTATGTCAAATATAATTATTTTTCTGTTACCTCTCTCTGACGCAAACACAGGCATGTCTCTCTTGATTGTGGAAAATGTCGGGCATACAGGGATTAATGCTCCCCTCTCTCCTGTAGGATATGTGTGCATCTGCTTATCATAAAAATTCTGGGTGGAGATGTGACTGCTATTATGGAAACAAAATAATTAAGTATCAACCTGCATATATATTTTTAAAATATTTTTTTAAAAGAACATTATGAACTCATAGTTTGCCCCAGTCACTAAATGCCTGACTGGAACTGATGCTCAGGCTCAAACTCTGAAGGAGGGAGTGCCGAAGCTGTAGCTAAACCACTGAGATCACTGTGATGAGGAAGTTGGATCATACAAATTCACATTTGTTGCTTGTTTCTCCAGCACTGGCACATTCTTACACATTGGGCAAAAAAATCCTGGTGGGTTCAACTTCCGACCTGTCTGTGACTATCCAGGAAATAGATCTTCAGGTTGTGGTGGATAGCTCCATGGAAATGTTAACTCAATGTGCAACATCAGTGGAGTGAGCAAATTCCATACTAGGAATCTTTAAGAAAGGGACCAAAAATAAAATGGCCGCTATTTAAAAAGCTTCTGTATTTCATTCTGATTGTCCCATCTCAAAAGGGATATTGTAGCACTGGAGAAGAAAAACCCAAAATATTCAGGGACTTGAAGCATCTTCATTACGAAGAAACAACTAATGCCCTTGGGATTTTTTTATTTGGGTAAAAAAAGACAGCTGGGGAGGCGAATTGAGTTTTTTTAATTACCGGTATGTATGATGTGGAGTAGATAGATGTTTTGCTTCCTCTCTCATAACACTAATGAAATTAGTGGGCTGGACAGTCAAAATTAACAAAATGCATCTTGATATTATGGTTGCCATTGGGTTTTTAAAAAATAAAATGAACCAATTCATGGTTCTTATTAGCTGCTATAGCTATATAGCAGCTATGTGAATTAGGTGGGCCTTCCATCTGATCCAGCAAGACTCCCACATTCTGTAGTTCTTTTCTTCCCTTCTTTTCCCATGGCCCCTTCCATTGCCTGTTCAGTTCTAACTTTCCTCAGTGGGTAATGCAAAATAATATATATGACATGGCGAAGTGCCATGTGAGTCATTAAAATGCGGGCTTTAAAGCTTTTTTTATTTTTTAGTGTGAAACTATAGAAAATTCCAAGGCACCATCAGCCAATACAGTCACCTCTTTTAAGGATGGGGAAGGGAGGGCAGGTGCCTGCTCTGCTTTACCAATAGTGTTAAGACATTGGAGAGTAAGTTACTCCTTTGCAACTACTCATGCCTCTGTAGGCCTGTGTACCACTTAGACAGTTTGTGTTTTTTTAGAGGGTGCTAGCACCTGTACTAAGGCAGACCCAGACAATCATGTCATTCACTGCAAAGTATGGCACCATAGCCTGACCATTTGAGTGTAATCACCAGGTGTGCATGTTTCAGAATTGTGGAAGACCCAACTGTCTGTGGTTCTTTAAACAGAAAGAAATGGCGAGCAGAACAAACAATGATTTAAGCATTCTCTCAGCAGTTCTGTTGCTACACTGAAAATCATTTGTGCATGGTTGGGGCCTTTCACGCATGGGTTTGCTAGAAGCATCCCACTGGAAGCTGCACCTCATTAAGGGCCAGTGGCTTTGGTGTCGGTTTAAATTAGACCCAAGTTTTGCTTTATATTTCTGCCATATTTCCCCACATTTTACATTCTTTTCACTGTCTTCTCCCTTTTCACTGCAGGCGTGGAATGTCCTGGCCCTGGATGGCAGCAACTGGCAGCGCATTGACCTGTTTGATTTCCAGAGGGACATAGAGGTATAATTAAGTGGTGTGCAGAAACAATTTCTCTAGTTAAACTGTAATTACAGCACTGTGTAAGATCAGTAATAAACTGTGTAATCTTTTGCATCTTTCCCCAGAGATAGGATTGTTAATTTCTAGTTTCTAGCTCCAGGGTTTCAGATACTGAAACCGCGCTAACTTATTTTATGCACATAGGTTTGTGGGTGTGTGAACTCTCACCTGTGTGCAAAGACATGGATCCCTAACTTGTTAATATTTTTACTGGGGAAAGATCTAGGGGTGGTAACTTCCCATTTAGCAGATCTTTAGCAGATTACTTCATTGTCCGCTTGCAAGAATAATGCACCATTAGGATAGGTGAGAGAATGTATTTTGGGTGGTGGGCTTTTTGGAGTACTGCTAAGGGCAGCAGATTATAAAATATTTGGGTTAAAAAAACAAACAAACAACCATTTGGTAAGGATGCCATTTGGATTTCCTTTCTCAGGCACCAAAATATTTTGGTCCATTCCTAGTTACACAAAATCTATACTTTATGTGATAACCGTTGCCGTGGAAAGAACCTGTTCTGGTTCCTTGGGGCTCTTAGCCACATTAGTGGCTTCCAAGTGGAAGAAGCCTAGCTCAGTGGTGGAACATCTGCCCTGCATGCAGAAGGACCCAGGTTCAGACCCCGGCACCTCAAAGCAGGGCTGGGAAATACCCCACGTAGGGTTGTCTGAAATCCTGGAGAGCCGCAGCCAGTCCATGTAGAGTAGACAGTACTGACCTAGATGGACCAGTGGTCTGATTTGGGATAAGGCAGCTCCCTATTTTCTCATGTAGTCGAATTTCCCATTGCGGCAGTCAGATCCGTGCCATCGGATATGACTTAGGAACTTCTGGCATGAGCTTTAAAGCTATACTGTTCATACCAGGGGTTCTCAAATTGTGTAATGGGGAGCCAGTCCGAGTTAGATTTTTGTGCAGAAAACCAGCTCTTTGAACTTCTCCAAGTATAATATTATTGTGGCTCGGTGACAGGACCCTATGCACGGCTGGCTAATTGTTTTCTGTCATGCTGATGGCTCCTGTCAGCTCATATTTTGTTAAGTAAAATAGTTGTCTGTGGGCTGTCTTTTGCAGGCGCAAACTGGGAAAAGAGTATATTGCAGCAAACAACCGTGAATGTGGCTTGAATGATGGCATGTCAAATCATGATTTGTGCCTATAGGTTCAGATGACCAATTTGCCACTAGCAAAGAAGAATCTGAGCAGCACACAGGGATTGTGTGACCTTGCCCTAGATTCAGCTTATTATGGGCCAAGTACATATGAATGTTAGACATTCTACAGGACACAGGTTTCTGGAGTACAGAATTTAAATACACAAATTTAAGGAGGATTTGAGGGTTGGATAAAAAAAAGGGTATCAACCAGGGGAGGAGTGGGTTAACGGGGGGGAGTTGATGCTTTTACTAAAAAAATTGAGAAAGTTATTTACCACATGGAAAGTTAAGCAAAGCTAATTACTCTGGAAGGTCACATCAATCGAATTCTCTTCCTGGTCTTTTTACAGGGGCGTGTAGTGGAGAATATTTCTAAAAGATGTGGGGGTTTCTTACGAAAGCTGAGCCTTCGTGGATGCCTAGGTGTGGGAGACAACGCATTAAGGTAGAGAGGTCAAGTGCTTTGCCACTGAAAAAGCACAAATAATTTTATTTTTCTATCCAGCGGAGAACCTGAACATGTAGGGTGGGGCAGTGAGCCACTTTCAAATGAGGTTATAGCATTTCCAAAATAATTGGCTCCTGTATTGATATCGCACTTAGGCGGTCCCATTTCTATCGGTTTAGAAAATGGGCCTACCAAAAATAGCGGGGGTTGTGCATACTAGCATAATTCACAAATTAAAAGAATTTTTAAAAATTGAAATGAATTGACAAGAACCTATTAAGAGTGACTTTCAGGTCCTACAGACCATTGAGAGCATCAATTGAAAGAAAATAATGAGGAAATGTATGGGAAACCTATTATTTGCCTGCTTGAGTCCATAACAATTTATAGTGTCCTAGAACTGGGGATTACCATTGAAAGGATGTGTGCCATGAGGTTAAAAGAGAAAATCCCTCTCTTATATGGAGAAGTTTCAAGAGAGAAAAGAAAACATGTCCTCTTTTCTGTTTTCCACCCTTCTGACCTATCCTACTTTTAGCTAAATGGCATAAAGCATTCAGGTTAATGTCTGGCAGCTAACCCCAAACCTGAGCTGTTTAGCACTGTGTAGTGTAGTGGGAAAATATATGAGTAAGGACAAGAAACACTTCATTTTCATTTTCTCCTGAAAATCCCTATCCTCATGAGCCACCAACTTTCACGTTGGCACCCCTGGTAGATTCTGCAGTTGCTGGATCACAGTCCATTGAACAGAATTACAGAACAGAAGTGGGTGTCTGCAATGAAATGTTGCAGCGTACACTCAGTCCCTGAGTCTGGATTGAGGAAACCTGTGTTCACATTCTAATTTAGGTCTTCTTCAATCAGTCAATCAAAACATTTTATTTGCATACCGCCTTTCCAAAGTTAAAATCATGCTCAAGGCAGCTTACAACATATAAAAGATTACGTAACTACAGACGTAACAAAAGTAGCCATGAACAATAAACAAAACATCAAAAAGTACACAAGCAAATTGAATAATTTCCACTTCAGATCCAAAATAAAGATACAAAAAAAAACGTCATCATCATCAACAACAATCCCTCAACAACCCCACCTAAACAAGATTCTGTTCCGCAACCTCAGCTTTTGTAGCTGGAGTCAGTCAGGGCCCTGCCCTCCCAGGCCAGGTGGGGAAAGGCCTGCAAAGCAGGGAGCAGGTCTTCCAGGACTCACAGCCAAGATGGTCTCTGGCCTCTTCACTGTCTGGAGTGGCCCCACTGCTGCTGTCCCATAGCTTCTTCCAAACAACTCCTTCTAAGGCATACAGCTTGACCTCTTAGAAGGCATGGTAAATAACCACCAGGTGCCAGCATCCACACAACTGTAGATATCATATAATCAGGGCCTTACCTTTGAATATATTGGAACTTCACTCAGTCTTACTGTAGCTTGTCTAAGTTGCTAGGAATAGCCACTTGTCCTATAGGCTAGTCACTGCTCTGTGAAAGACCTCTAGCAAGTCACCGTGTTCTGAGTGCATCTGCAAATTTGGTCTCACTTTGCTGCTTTTTTATTTATTTTGACAAAGTAATAATAAATAAATAAGAATAATAATGTGCACCCCACCCCTAAGACCATTCCATTGTAACTATCCACCCTCCCAGAATTTCAGCACCTCTTGTGATAGTTTGACCCCTTTCTGTTTTAACAATACAAATTCTACAAAAAACCTACATATCACCTCAAAATCGTTTCTCCTACATATTCCCCATCTTACCTTAATAGCACATGTTAATTTATCATCAATAGTTGTATCCCACACCTCTTTAAACCAGTGTTTCCCAACCGGTGTTCCGCGGCACACTAGTGTGCCGCGAGACGTTCCCTGGTGTGCCGTGGGAGGGAGGCGGGCGAGTCGGGCGGCGAGAGGCGGGGCGGCGAGGATCCGCGTCGAGCCGGGGGCGGCTCCGCGGTGGTGGTGCTGAGGTTTCTCTCTCCATTCTCCCCTCACACACACACACAGGAAATAACACAGGATCAGCTGACAGGACCCGGCCAATGGGGCGGCGGCGGGGCAGCGCGCGCAAAAGGGAGGAGCGCGAGACAGCGGACGAGGAGGAGGCCGGCATGTCCGGGCAGCAGCAGCAGCAACAGCAGCAGCAACTCCCGGCGACGGCTCCTCAAGCCCCGGGCAACCCTACTCCCTCACCGGCCTCAGCCGCCCTCCTGCTCCACCCGCCGCCGCCTCCCCCGCCGCCGCCGGCCACCTCGGCCCCGCCGCCGCCCGCTATCGCCGCCACCACCACAACAGCCGCCGCCTCCTCAGCTGGGCCCATGCCTGCCGGGAGCGGCGGCGGCAGCAGCAGCAGCAGCGCCCCGGCGCCCTTCCCTCCCGGCGTGACGCTGCGCGCTGACGTCACGGGGCTGTAATGGTGGTGTGCCTCAAGATTTTTTTCATCAAACAAGTGTGCCTTTGCCCAAAAAAGGTTGGGAAACACTGCTTTAAACCATTCTTCTATTTTATATTCACCTTGCCCCTTCCACTTCCTAGCTATAATAGCTTGTGCTGCTTTCAGTAAATTTGTGAGCAAGTCCTTCATAGCCTGTGAACCTTCCACCCCATTGCAAATTGATAATCATGCTACTCTGGACCCAGTGATTTCTATTATCTCCTTAAACACCCTTTGCCCAAATAATTGTACATATTTACACCACCACAATATGTGAACATAAGTCCCAGTTTCCTGGCATACCCTCCAACATAACACTGAATATTTCTTGTTTATTTGATTAAATCTGACTGGTGTTAAATACCATCTCCAAACTAACTTATAATAATTTTCTTTTATCCTTGTAGACAACATTTTCAAATTGTGTTTCTCCCATATTGACCCCAGCATTGACTATTTATCTGCCCTGTTTTCTCCTTCTCACACACCTTTTAATTGATCTTGTTGATCCTCCATTTCTACTAATATTTTATAAATTTCACTGATTATCACTTTTATAACTATATTTTCTTCTTTATCTCCTTTTTTATAATCATTTTTTTAAAAATTGTATATTCTTTGCAGCTCTTATTTTCTCATAACCACTTCTTTGTCCATTGCTCCAATTGTATACAGTTAAACCAAGTTATTTTACTTCCTGTTAGAGCTTCTCTTATTTGTTCTTTTCTTCTCATTTTCTCCACCCATGTCTTTATTTTGAGTATTTTCTTCTCTTTCACTTCTTTTTCAATTTCCTTTTAAAAATTTACTGGGAAGTCTTCTATCTTCGCCACCGGAGTTAGTTGGGAATTTACTGGTATCAATTTTCCTTTATATTTTGCTCATCTCTCAATGATGTTTCTTAATAAGGGATTTTCAGTATTCTGCCACAATTGCCTATTTGGTTAGCTAAAAAATATATTCACGAACTTCTCCCTCATTCCCTGTGTACCACTCTAACCATTCTAACTCGCCTTGTTCTGTTATCACATCTATGATATATCTTAACTGATTTGCTATATAATATAACTTTACCTGTTTTCTGGGGGTTATACCATCATCTTTTATTAATTCTAGGCTTCTTATCCCATTACAAAATTTATTAATCATACTTTGCCAACACTTTATCTCTGTCTCCAGAGATAATTGGTAAAATTCTAAATAAAAAAATTTATTCTAGACAAAAATTTCATTTTAATTATCGCTATTCTTCCAAACCATGAAAGCTTTAATTTTTTTCCTCCAGCTTTCCCTTAATTTCCCTCTTTAATTTGTTAAGATTCTCTTGTTCTAAATTTTTTAAATTTCTTGTTATTCTCAAGTACTTTATTACATTTCTTAATTTGATATCTATTTCAAGAATTTTCATTTTTCCTCTTCATCATAGTTAAATATCAACATCTCTTATTTGAACCAATTAATTTACGACCCTATTATTTCTCCATTTTTTTTCAAATGTTCCTCTATTCCTGCTTATTTTCCAACAGATTTTCGATTAGTAGCAAGGTGTCATCTGCAAATAAGTTAATTTTTTCTTTTCCATTATTGCATATTCCTTTTATATTTCCATTTTCTCTAATTACATTGGCCAGAGTTTCAATGACCAATACAAGTAAAATTGGGGAAAGGGGGCATCCTTGCCTTCTACCTTGGGCTAGTGTTATTTGTTCTGTTATACTATCATTCACTACGACATATGCCTTGTTCCTCATTGAGTAATCCCTTAAATCATTTTCCAAATCCTAAGCTTTCTATAAACATTTTTAACCCCAGCCATTCTACACAGTCAAAAGCCTTTAAAATATCCAGTGCTACTATACCAGCTTTCAGTTTATTTCTTCTTATAATTATATCTATTTTATTCAACACTCTTCCTATTAAACTAGACATCTTGTCTTCCTGCCACAAAGCCACATTGGTTTTTATTTATATATTTATAAATAAAATTATTCATCCTTTTTGCCATTATTGTGGTCAGTATTTTAGCATCTTGATTTATTAGGGAAATCTGCTTATACGATCCTGGGTCCTTCAAATCTTTTCCTGGTTTTGGAATTAAGATAATTATTGATTGTTCCCACGATGGAGGGATCCTCTCACCCTCTATTACTGAATTATATAATACTTTTAATTTAGAAACCAATATATTTTCAAATACTTTACAATATTTGGTTCCCAATCTATCTGCTCCTGGGGCTCCCCCCCTTTTAGTTTTTTTATAACATCCTCTATTTCTTTTTCTGATCACGTTGCTTCTAAAGTCCTATGGAAATGTAGTATAGAACAATCCAAGATGCATGTTGCCCAGACCACTTCCAAAACCTTCTGGAAAGACATGGACTTGCTGAGTATCATGGGACAGGACTTGAGCTTGTCCCAGGGCTTTGCAGAGCTCTGCTACCAGAGGCACTTTATCAGCTTGACCGCTCAGGGCCCTTACCTGACAGGTGAACTGCTAATTATTTTTATATATTGCTAGTAATCTGTTGCTAATAACCTACTACAGGCACTTAAGGAAAGGGGCCTGTTCATTTTGCCCTCCCTGCCAGCCAGTCATGAGAGTGTATATGTTTGCTCTTGCTAGTTCGGTTTGCTCAGAGAGTGTCTGTCTGTTTCTCAAGGTGTTGAGCTCTTCCTGGTTTTCAGCATTGAGATCACTGTTCTTCCACAGCCACTCAGTTATGTGTAGATGTGTCTCCCCTTTCTGAGGTGATGGTGGTTATTATTTAGAAGTAAATGTTCTCTTGCAGCACCACAGTAGGGCAAAGTTCTGCCTAATGGTTTGCTCGGTTTCTTGACATGGCTTTGGTACCTGCTCGAAATAGGCCTGCACCACCAGTTCTTCCATAACAGATTTGGAGGGAATTATACCTATCAAAAGTGAGATTCAGGAGACCCAAACACATCCCCCATACACACTGGTGTAGTAGTTCGGACACCACAGCCTAATCATGGCTTGGCTGTCAGGAACGTTCTACAGCTCCTCTGCTCATTTCTCTCCCCATCATGGTATCAGAAAACTGGAGAGACTACTCAAGCCCACAGCACATCTCTGATGATCAAAATGTGACTTGACTTTGACATCTGAACTGGGCAGCTGTCTGAATCTAACCTGGAAGTTAAGTTCCATAGTCTGTAAACTGAGGCATAGTTAATGGTTTGCCTGTGAATGTGCAGGGATTGCTCCTACTTCCCTAGTGTGAGCTCAAGCAACAATCCCCATGATCTCTGGCCAAGGATTGTGGCTTGTTTGGACAGGGCTCTAAGCCTGCGATTGTGGTTTGTTGCACCAGCCCTGCACAAGGGGAAGAATGAAGCAAGAGGCACCCCTGTGTTCACAGTAAACCATTGATTATGGCTTACCATAATCTGTGCCTTCACAGTGCCTTCACTTCATAAGTGCCTTCACAGGAAGGATCATTGTAAGGATGATGAGATAAAGACTGTGAAGAGTTAAAATAGGATATAGCGTTCTGGTATTTTTGTTACTTGAAATGCGAGCTGTGTGCATTGCACTTTTTCTGGTACATTGCATGGTGACAGCAAAGATTCTCCTTCAAGGAAAGAGAGCAGAATGTTGGCAGCACAGCTATAAAACACTTAATCTTTCTCTCCTCCTGATGCTCAGAGAGGAGGAGGAGGTGTTGTTAACAGTTAGGTTTCCATCTCCCTCCTAGGTGTTCATGGCTTTCCCCAATTTATTCTCTCAAGAACCCTGTGAGGTAGGCTGGACAGTGACTGGCCCATGGTCACCTGATGAGCATCATTGCTGAACAGGGATTTGAACCCTGGTCTCCCAGTCCCAGTCCAACATTTAACATCTGTGCACTGGGGTTTCTCTTTATGCTGGACCTTTTTCCAGGCAATGTTAGAAAGCAGTTTGGAGATCCAGCAAGGGGAGCTGATGCATGTACTTACCTGCCTGGCACTTGCACACCTATAGGCTACAGCTAGTGTACACTGATGAAAGCACCCTGGTATGTATGTACAGCCTTGTCTTCTGTAGTTGGCAGCGGGAGATCCACATGTACATTACCATCTTGATCACAGATCCAACACATGAAATAGATTGTGAATGGTGTTTTCTCTTTTCTTTTTAAGCTGGGTATCGTCCCTAAATATTCTCAAAGTATCACTTAAAAAAACAAACCAACCCCAATTATTTGCTTTAATTGCCCCTCAGTTTGTAAGACCTTTTAAATGTCAGGTGCCACTGATTTAAAATGTATGTATTAAAAGCCTGAAAAGCACTGTACTTTTTTCTGTCACGAAGGACATTTGCACAGAACTGCAGAAATATTGAAGTGTTGAACTTGAATGGCTGCACCAAGATTACAGATGCGTAAGTGGCATTTATTTCAGCTCTCCACGGTATTTCTTTAGCTCTTTTTAATAACTTTCCCCCATTTTCTTGGTTGCATGTTTTGTTGCTCAAATGCTGTCAGAGTATATCTGTTCTTATTGTGAATGGGTAGCTAGAAAGGGCAAATTGCCAAGGCACCCCTGTCCCACTGTAGGGGGCGGCACCAACTTAAACTTGGTGCATCAAGCCCTTCCTTACCTTTGCATCACCTTCATCAAATCTGCAGTGGTCCCCTGTGCGTATATTGGACAGGCAAGGGATCAGAGGCTAAGCTTGGAGAACACATGGTTAGGCTGGGCCAGATGTGCTGAGCATCTAATCTCATTTACCACACACAAATTTTTATATATCCCAATTTTTAATATAAACAGTAGAACATTGTGTCGTCTTAACAATGATATAGTTAAAAAGAAAAATCCAAATTAAGAAGAATATTGAGAATCTTAGTGTGCTTTTAAAGAAATAGATTTCAGTCAACTACAATGAAAATGAGGGACCCATTCTGATATAGGCACATGATCACTAAACGTCTTCTACTTAAAAAAAAAAAGACAGCAATGAATCTATGTGTGTCCTATTCTCTTCCAGGACATGTACTAGCCTTAGTAAGTTCTGCTCCAAACTCCGACATCTTGATCTAGCTTCCTGCACTTCAATAACCAACCTGTCCCTCAAAGCACTGAGGTGAGTGTTGCTCTTCATAAAGCTTATCCACCCTGATTTAAAAATACCGCATTTCTTTGTGATGGAAACCCCTGCTTCATTTTACCATGCTCTGGGCCAACTCACTGTGTCAGTGGTATAGCAGCTGACCAGAATTGGAACAGGGGTGGGCGGGTGCGGTAGAGGCACACCTTGTTCTTTCTTAGTTAGTCTGACTTGGGGAACTCCAGGAAGGCTGGGCATAAGATGACAATCAGTACAAGCTTGGGCTGTTTTCTGGTCCCATGGGGTCAGAGGGAAAGAATGAGCTTCCCAATTAGTCGTGGACCAGGCGAGATCAACAATGCTAGTAGTGCGGAAGCCACAGAAGGCTGACATCCAAGAGATGGAATGGTCTTTCCTTGCTGTTGATTCAGAAGTGAGACATGCTGTGGCATTGCTGTATGTGCCTTCTTAGCCCCTGCCCTGTTTAGGTCCTTTTGATACAGTTGCCCTTGTGCATGGTATACAAACAAGCCCATTCCCTTTCTCCCTGCAGTATTGCCACGTGGCTTCTGTCACCGCCTACCCCCATTATTCATAGAATTGTAGAGCTGGAAAGGACCTTGAGGATCATCTAGTCCAGCCCCCTGCAATGGAGAAATACGCAACTGTCCCATATGGTGATTGAACCAGCAACCATGGCGTTATCAGCACCATGCGCTAACCAAATTCCTGCTATAGTTTTCAGTTGGTGGTCATCCTTGAAGCTGTGGCAGAGAGCAGAGTTCAGTGTGTTATTACTGGAAAACAAGGCGGTGAATTTCCCTTGTTTCCAAAGCAAGAATTTTTTTATCCTTAAGAGTTAACATCTCTGTCTGCCTTTCCCCTCTGCCCCCTTCTCACCTCTCAAGTGAGGGATGCCCTCTACTGGAGCAGCTCAATATATCATGGTGTGACCAAGTGACAAAAGATGGCATCCAGGCTTTGGTGAGAGGCTGCGGTGGACTCAAAGCTCTGTTTCTTAAAGGCTGCACGCAGGTATGTCTCCAGTGAGGACACAGCAGCTTCAAGAAAGCTTGAGTTGAAGTGCATTTGTTTTAACTTGGAGCAGAATCAAGTTGAGTGTGGGTCATACATTGTGACATTGGAAGCAAGAGGGAGAACAGTAGGAGAGATTAAATTTTATTTATTCCTTTATTTATTTTACCCTGTCCAAAAGAGTTATAATGGCAATTTGCACTACATGAGTTTCTCTGAGGATAGAGAAGAAGGGAGGAAATCTGTGAGATTACTTTTGAACAAAGGAAGAGTAGAGCAGAAGCACTGTGCTTTGTGCAGTTCTTGGCTGTCTGGCGATAGCATGTGGCTTTTAAGTATAGGAACTTTTGGTTACTTCTCTTCTAGGATATTTGTCATTTTTAAAGGTGTTGGACTAGAAGAGAACCAAGCCATCCAAGCCAACCTTTTTTAAAAAACAACCTGGGCATCTGTACTGAAAAGCTGAGCATTTCTCGTGTCCACTGCATTTGAAATTCTGAAACACAGTCCTACCCTTTATCCAAATATGCTCCAAGTTTTGTCTTGAAATTAGAAATTGCTTAAAAAGTAAAAGTTGTAAGTTGGATAACTGAATTGGAAATCAGGTTGTGTGTTGAATCCTGTTCTGGGGAGGATGGCCTCTGATCTCAGCTTTGGGTGGGACCTGGTTCAACTAGTTGAGGGCCATTGTTCTTTGTGCTTTGCCCATCTCAAAGAATTTCAGTTCTTTGAGATGGGCCACATGACTTAGTTGTGGCACCTCATACAGGGAAAGGAAAAATCCCAACCTCGTTAGCAATCCCAGGCAAAATAATAAAATAGCTGTGACACAAGGCAGTTGCAGGACAGGAGCTTTCCACTGTCATGGTTTCAGGTTTCCTTGTACTGGATTTTTGCAAACATTTTTGTGGCTCTCTTAGAGCAGCTTGGAATTGTAATAGAGTAGCATAAGGCATGTTTCTAGGCCCCCAATCCAGGTTTAGTTGTGGGCAGTCAACCACATGTTACACAACTTGTGGCCTCTGATTGAGGATGTTCACCTGCATCAAATATGCATCTGGGAGCTTCAGGAGATTTACATCCACATCTGTATCTGCATCCACATGGATAAAGGATGTTCAGTTTATAGTTGCACCTATATGAGTCAAAGAAAGAAGTTCTAGTGGAGAGGTTTAGCAAACGCAGCCATAATTTTATAACGCATATTTCTTTTTTTAAAATAGCTTTAGCCTTTCCCCTTTTTTATGGAGTGCTAAGGAAAAAAAATTGATGGAAGCAAGGCACTTGTTATCAGTTGTTTTGCCATCTGTTCTCCATAATTCAAGGACATTAGTAGCAGAAATAACTTGGGTGTTGCCTTTTTTTCTTTTTGTCTTAACAAAAGAGCCTCTTTTTCTCTTTTAAACAAAGCATGTTTATGTGAAACCAACGTAGTTATATTTGACGTTTTACTATGTTTTTATATGTACTGTAAGCTGCCCAGAGTTGCTGGGGAAAGCCATCCAGATGGGCAGGGTTTAAATAATAAAATTCTTATTATTATTAAAGGCACTTAAGTCCTTAAAATTCAGAAACTCTGATTCTAGGACCATGTGGTTACACTATGAGATTTTCAAACACCTCCATAATGAAGCTAAGTATTTTGAGAACCCAGCCAAATAAATTCTCGGGCGACAATGCCACAAAGGTGTAGTGCTCATGGGGGTATAGAATGGGGAAATGGAATATTTCTCTTGTTCTTGCCTCCTTCATGGCAGCCTTGATGCTGGGAGTTTTTGCAGTAGCCAGCTTTGAAAGCCTATTAGATGCTGTGGGTCCCATGGTGACATGAGATACCAGAGACCCATATGGGCTCTTAGCTGTCATTGAGAATGAGAAACTAGGCCTTTCTTTTTAAAATAAAAACAAAGACTTTTGGGAATCCAGATTTTCAGTAATTTTATTCCTAGAAAAGAAAACCCCAAATATGACTTCACGCTGACTCCTTTAACAAGTTGCTTACCTCCCTCCCTCCTATTGCACTTTTGTTCTAGCTGGAGGATGAAGCTCTCAAATACATTGGGGCACACTGTCCTGAACTGGTGACTTTGAATTTGCAGACCTGCTTGGTAAGTAATTGGTTCACACAAATCCAAATTTGCTCCTGTTTTTCTTAACATGCAGAGGCCATGAACTCTGCAAAGTGACACTCACACCCCAAGTAATGCCTCTCCCTGTTGGCTTGGAGTAGTTGCAGTCCTGGTAGCTTGATGTTCATCTTATTTCATAGGGGCAAAATCCCTACTGTGGTGGATGGGAATGTGTGTGAAAATCTGGCTAAGCCATTTCCGAGCTAGAGAGGAGAGGGGGTTGCGGGTTAACCCCTCCCACACTCCACTCGCGGGGGCTGACCTTTTGCCCCCGCGAGAACAGGGGAATCCCCGGGCGTGCCTGCAACCCTGCCCGCCAATCGGCGGGGCCGGGGAGGCGTGGCCTAGCCCATTTAAGGCCAGGCACGACCGGGGACCGCCCTCTTTGCCCCGTTCCAGCTGACCAGTTATAAAAATCGTCAGTAGCTGAGGGGACGGGCAAGTGTTTGTAGTTGCTTGCGTCTCTGTGCCTATAGCCATTCTTGACCCTTTTTCTTTTTTTCTTTTTTTAAATATATTTATTAAAGTTTCAAAATGTTACAAAAATAAGAAAAAGAAAAGAAGAAAAAAGAAAATACAAAGTACAGAAAAATAAAAACAGTTAAAAACAAATCAATCTTTCCATATCTTGTCTTTCGTTTGCTTGTTCCCCTGACCTCCTCACACCTCCCTTTTTTGTATTCCAGTTCAAATAGTTAATTCAGCAAATCCTTTCCCTCTTTGTTTTTATCTTAATCCTTTATCTTAATATATTATAACTTTAAATTATCACCTGTTAACAATCCATTTTTACATATTCCTTTATAACATTGCTGCTAAAAACCACTTAACTTCATTCCGACATCATTCTAACATTCATTAATTTTGCAGTATTTCTGTAAATAGTCTTTAAATTTCTTCCAATCTTCTTCCAGCCATTCTTGACCCTTTGCTTCCAAACATGTTAAGCAAGACATTCAATGCCCCTAGTATGCTAGGCATACAGACATTATTAGAATTTCCATGGTGCCCCAAAGCCACTGAAGGTTTCCTAAAACCGTGATATTCCCCTGTATAGTTCCTGTGGGGCAAATAAAGGATATTGAAAAAGAGCTCTTTCCATTTAAGAGTCTCATGCTCTGCCAGCACGCTGGAAGTTACAGTCCAATAACATATTGAGGGCACCTTGTTGACTCTGCTCTGGCCTTACGAAATCCACTGGGATCCACCCTCAGATCACTAGGAGCTTGCCAACTCCACTCATTGACCAGATATTTTTAAAATCTCAAATTGGCAACCATATCACCACCCTAGACCATACAATGGATACCTTCTGCATATAGTAAAGAACTCTCCTAGTGTTAGCATTTAATGTGACAAATCTATCTGGTCCGAATTCACCCTTGCCCAGGAGGCGTTTCAAATTTTGTTTGCAGGACAAGCTGGAAAAGATTCTTTTGGTCGGGTTGGAATGCTTTCTTGTCTCTGTATTTAACTTTTTGTGTGTGTGTATTTTTAAAAAGTTGGAAGAGGAAGTACATTTTTGTCCTGCGAGAAAATATCCTGTACCATTTTGTGGTGGTGCCAAAAATGGAATGTTGAGCCCAAAAAAGGAACAGATTTTGATAGCCTGTGTGCAGTTGGCATCCTGCTTTTTCACATGATACTTGCTAAAATGAGTTTACCAAATAATACTTAAGATGTAATTTTAGGACTCAGAAGGGTTCTCCCACCCTGGAGCCCAGTTCAAATGTCATATCAAACCAAAGTTTAAAACAAACTGTGGTTTAATGGGAACGAGCAGCATTCTGGTTCCTATTGCGCTCCTCCCCCACAACCTTTGCTGCCCCGTTGTGGACAAAATGTGCCAGAGTCTGGCTTATCCTGTCTTCTGAACTCTGGCTCATGGTTGATTTCCACCCAGCAAAGTAATAAGCAGTACCAAAATTTGTTCTTGAATGACTGCTTGTGGTTTGTTTGGTGGAAACCAACCTTTAGCCTGGGTTTGGACAACATGACAAACATGCAGATTGTTTTGTCTACAGCATGCTGCGGGAATTTATGAGCAGTGGGCACCAGCATGCTGCTCATTCACATTAAACAATAGTTCACTTTGACCTGTGGGTTTCATGTGCCAGGCGAAACAGACCAAAACTTGCTGCACACTACAAATGACTTTGATTCCCTTCTCTCCTTCTGTAGCAAATAACAGATGATGGTCTCATTACAATATGTAGAGGGTGCCACAAGTTACAGTCTCTGTGCGCCTCTGGCTGTTCCAACATCACCGACGCCATCTTGAACGCTTTAGGGCAAAACTGTCCAAGGCTTAGGTAAGTAGGCTTTGGGTTAGAGGGCTGTGTGAGAGGATACAAGGTTAGCATGTGAACATGGGATGCATGCTGGGTAAAAATGGATAACATGAGGGGAATCAAAAGCTCACAGAAAAGGGTTGGCATATTATGTGGAAGGGGATGGGTCATAGAAAAAGAAATTCATTTGTTTAACCTTACAGTCTGTCTCATAGGTTCAAGGTTGTGAAAAATGTCATTGCCCAGAATGAAACCTGCCACTATTAAAACAGGGGCAAGCAAACTTTTTTTCCGTTAAGGGCCAAAATCCCTCATGGGTAATTGTCAGGGGCCACATGCTCACTATGGACCAAGGTGAAATAGTGTGTGGAGTCAGAGCAAAAAGTAGAGGAGGAAACCCCCACTTTCTTCCTCCCTGCCCAGCAGGCTGCCAGGGAAAGGACAGATCACTCTTCCCAGAGGTCTGGACTGATTGCTTACAGAAAGCTTTTGACATTAGACTAATGGACGTAGGTTGCCTAAAATACTGTTAATAATCCTAGCTTCCCTTCCCAGAGCTAGGTCAAGAGGACAATAGGGATGGGCTTCCAGCAATTTAACTCCCACAAAGTTGTGCGACATTGATCATCAGAAAGTGAGATTGCAAGGGTTTGATGGGTTCAGGGTTTGGAGTAAATACGGATGAGCTGGAGGAGTTTTGTCAAATATGACAGGCAGGCAAGCAGAAATAGAGAAGAGTGAAAAATTGTCTATTTTAGGTCTTCAGGAGCGATTATGGGAAGTGTAAGAATCATAAAAATGGGGGGGAAATGTGTAGCTTGGGGGATTTAAGCTGTATTTATCCCTTCGACGTGTGTTGTTAGGATTGCTGATATATAGTGTGAGCCCATCAAGTGAAATGTCCTCAACTACTTTGAAACTGGTGGTCTTGGGGTTTCTTTTCCACAGGCACTAAGTTTGTGAGATTTCTGAAAATGGATTTCTGAAAAGCACAAGTGCTTAATTTGCTGTATTTTATTTTCTGTGCAGAATATTGGAAGTGGCTCGGTGTTCTCAGCTCACTGATGTGGGGTTTACCACGCTGGCTCGGGTAAGCATCTGATCCTTTTTGTTTGCTTGTTCATAGACTTAAAGCAGCGAGTGGTGTCTTCCTTGTAGAAGATAGATGCTAAACACCTCATGCCCTATACCATACCTGGCTCAGTACCATAAGCAAGCTGGGAAAAGAGAAGAATGGTTTGAGCAATGAACTAAGTGGAGGTGATGTGTTGATTTGGCGCCCTTTTCTGCACACCCTATATAAGGCTTTATAAGTGAATGGGGATGGGCATGTGAAAAGAAATATGTAACTGCCACTGCCATAGCCAGTTTGTCTCTGAGAGAACCTAAGGGCGAGGATGGAAGCCAAGTTCTGGATTGAACAGCCATGGAAATGGAGGTTCAATAAGCACCAGAACCTGGCAGGACTGATGTCTGAAAGCACGCGCCTCTTTAGACTTTTGCAATATGGTAGCATCTTAAAAGCTTGGCTGGGGCTGAATGGAAGACAAAGCAACAATGTATCTTCTTTCCAAACTACAAGAAAGAAGATTCCACCTAAACATTAGGAAGAACTTCCTGACAGTAAGAGCTGTTCGACAGTGGAATTTGCTGCCAAGGTGTGTGGTGGAGTCTCCTTCTTTGGAGGTCTTTAAGCAGAGGCTTGACAACCATATGTCAGGAGTGCTCTGATGGTGTTTCCTGCTTGGCAGGGGGTTGGACTCGATGGCCCTTGTGGTCTATTCCAATTCTATGATTCTATTTTCTGTTGTTTAAGGAGTTGTGCTTCCATGCCCTTCTCCCAACTCATGGCAGCCGTTCCCTACTTCCATCCCTTGCAAAACCATCTTGTCCTCTGATCTCCATTATCTCTCCCGTCATTGAGTTTATGGGTGGGGAATCGCATCAGCTCCAGCCAGCAGGACCATCGGTCAGGGATGGTGTGAGTTGTGGTCCAACAACATCTGTAGGGCTGAAGCATCCCCATCCCCGTTCTAGACCTTAAATGCAGAGGTTATTGTGACACTCCCCAGAGTAATCCCATTGGTGAAAATGGGATTGGTCTGGAGTTAAACTACGTTGAGAAATCTGGTTGATGGGAGCAGAATAAGCCATTTAAATAAGATAATTTCCATAGCGGCATAATCTGTTCTGAACTACAGAGTTGGGATTGCTTTGGAGCCAAATCAGGGAGAGGGGAAGATAATACAGTGCACTTTCTCTAGCAAGCAGAACTTGCTCCAGAGTGGCCAGCACTAAGGAGAGCACCGTAATGTAGTTGGATCCTCTTGCAATCATGGCTCGGATCGTGGAAGGAATGTTTCTTTTTAAGGCACCTGTTGGCCTCATTTCTCCAGCAGCTTCCATTGGAGTGATCCCATTGAAGTAATTAGGACTAGTCTATAGCCATCTTAGCTTGCGTTCAGAAGGAAGAATCAATACATGCCTTTTTGAAAAAACGAATGCTTAATTTTGTGTGTGTTTTGCTTTGTTTTTGATTCTCCCCAGAATTGTCATGAGCTTGAAAAAATGGACCTGGAAGAGTGTGTTCAGGTATATGAAGTATCTTCATCCCATTTCTTAGGGGTGGGTGTGGGGGTTCATGCATGTGCAGAATGTCATGGACGTAGACCATGACTCAGAGAATGCTGTAATTTGTTAAGATAAGCCTTTGCTTGAGATTGTTTATCCACATTCCAACAAGCAGGAAGTGTTTTGTGAGTTGTGCTTTTCCTCTTTGTGTGCTCTTCCTATAATGCTCAGAAAGGAATTTTGTTGATCCATACCTGCAGGGAAGCATTTTCACAAGAATGCTTTGGTGAGGGTCTTGCTCACTCATCTCCCCCCCACAAAAGGAAAAGATGTTCTTGAACTTCCTGTCACCATAATATTGAGACATAATAGTATATAGTCTCGCTAATCCTATCCACTTAGAGTGGTATTGAATTCTAATCTCACTCATAGTAGACCTATTGAAATTAATTTATAAGGCTAACTTAAGGTTCATTAATTTCAACAGGCCTACTCATAGTATTGCTTAGTTGAAAACAGCCCCTTGGTTTGTAATAAAATCTGGTGGAACAAAATATTGCTGTAAGATGAGTGGCAGCTGCTCTAGCTCCGCCACCTCCTCTCTGCCCAGTAATAATTTTTTTTTAAGTATCATAGGGCAACATTGTACTCAAAGTTTCCCTGCTCTACTTTATTGCCTGTTGCATGCAAGAAGAGGGGGACCTGGAGTGCAATGACCTCACTTACTGCATATCGTCACAGGAGAAGAGAGGAAGAGGTAGTGCAGAGGTGCTGCTTTTGGCAGTAGCTATATGGCTCCCATAACATCCAGCCTATCGATTCTCAAACTTCTGTTTCCTCAGACTACTTGAAAATTGCTTAAGGTCTCAGTGGATCACTTAATGAACTTGTTTGGATCTGTGAACCAAAGCACATGCACAACTCATGTTTGAATAACTGTAGGATTTCATTTCTAATGTGATAGATGTGCTTCTGAATTAAATATGAAGCAAAGTAAATAAAAAAATTCTTCAGTGCCATCATCCCAATGTGATCATGAAAATCAGATACCTTCAGGGACCCCAGGTTCTTGTTTGCCAATTTGAAAGTCCATCCCTGGTCAAAACAGCTTTGCTCTCCATCAGGAAAAAAAAATCAGTGAAGTGCAGGGCCAGATAAAAATTTTCTGCAGGCCTCCTGAATGGAGCTTGCGGGCCGCAGTTTGAGAACTTCTGTATGTACTTGTTGAGAGACGGAATGTCTATATTAGGGATTCTTAAACTCCAGGAGCCTTCTGAAAACAGTTGACTCTGCCAGCAGCCATTTGCCTTTATCTGGAAGGCCTGCCTCAAGCTTTGACATTATTCTGGTGTTAGTCCTGACCAAGAACTACTACAAGATAGGCTAGGCGATACCTTCTGAAACGTGTGTATCTTTTGATCTCTTCCAGATAACAGACAGCACATTAATCCAGCTCTCCATACATTGTCCACGGCTTCAGGTTTTGGTGAGTCTTCAAGAGCCCCCCGCCCCCATCATGGATTTTAACCACGTTGTTAACTGCATTTCTAAATTATTTGCCAAGTCGGAAAAGAAAATGAGGTAGTCCACTGAGATGTGGAATTCAGCGTATTGAAATGCATGAACCCCTAAATAATGTGCTCATATGCAAAGCTCTGTGAGATAGGTCATCTGTTGTTTAAGCTTTACGGATCTGGATAGGAAGAAGAACTGAGAATGACTTGCCCAAAACAATGTGGTAGAGCCAGAGTTTCAAATTTAGTGCTTTTCTCTCAGCTGCAGAATTTTGGGTCATTAAAAAAGCTCAAAGTTGTGAGTGTGATTAAGAAAGCAACAGGTTGTTTAAGAAGCAACTCCTGAGTGTTCTACCTTCTAGTCTGTCATTGGCATAATGGATCTGTGAACAGGACAGCAGCTTTGTCAACAAGACGGCCCAGCTTTTAGAGCTGATCTAGCATGGTAGCTAAGATATATGAGCCAGAAAGTTTCTTGATCTCGAATACTGCCTCAGCTAACCCCTTGAAACATGGTTCAACAACATCCGGGATGTGGCTATTTCAGAGCGACTAACAGGGCTTAGGAGGGTCACAAAAAGTGTTGTAAAGAGAAACACCTTTAATGAAACCCGCCCCCCCCTTTCATATGCAAGGGAAATAGATAGCAAACTTTCCCCACTAATTTTGCAACCATGTATGCGGAGAGCCTACATTGACCATTAATGTTTTAAGATTATGTAAAATGACGCTATGAATTCAATGCTATGTTTATTATTCTTTTTCTTGTGGACACTGTATTAAATTTTAGTTAATCAATAATAATAAAAAACACTCCCTCAGCTATGGATTTGCTAGGTGACCCTGAGCTAAACCACCATCTCTTGGCTTCTGTCCCTCTCTATCTGCAATATAGATGCATAATAATAGGATTGTTGCAAGGTTTCGTGAGATAATTTGAGGTGCCTTGACCACTAATTAAACACTTTTCATTGTTACAATACAAATAACACGGATTAGATATATATGTGTGTGTGTGTGTGTGTGTGTGAAGGGAAAGGTGAATGCTAAATGAAGGCGTAGTATATCGGAGGTTTAGAAGAGAACTAACTATACACACACAGAACAAAGCAAGTGAGCTTGGAGTGACTTGGAGAATCAGTAGGCCGGGGAGGGGGAACCTAGGGCCTGGGGGCCAAATGTGGCCCTCCAGACCTATCTGTCTGGCCCTTGGGTCTCTCCCTAGGCTACACACCTCACTGGCGTTGCTTTTGCACCCCAAGTGCCTGACTAAAATGTGTCCCTGAAGTCTAATAATGCTGCCTCTTGCTTGTCTAGATGGAGGATAAAGAGGAGTGTATGAGTTTGTGCAGAAACTAGCCTACTGTACAAAGGTAACATTTACATCCACTGCTCCTCCCACTTTTGCCTCTGGCCCCACCCTCCACTGCCATGTGGCCCTCAGAAGGTTCCTCAGGAGAGAGTGGGGAAAGTTCCCCACCTCTGCAGTAGGCAATGGAGAGGGCTGAGGAAGCAGGGATTCAGAGAGAAGCTCTTCCCAGCAGCATGGCACATCATAGGTTGCTGGGGTTGGGGGCTCATCTGATGAGGAGAGCATCCATGAATCCAACAAATCTGTAAGCCGAGGTTTGGAATACTGTGGTCCAACAGTCCCAGATGTTGCTGGAGGATTTCTTCAGCTGAAGATAACTTAGGCATATATCAAGTTCTGCGCTACCAGGCTGGGGTAGCTCCACCATCTTGAAATGACCTCATTATAACACCTTTGCGAATGCTGCCTGCTTCTTTCTCCTTTGCTTTCGCTTTCTTCCCTTTGTGACGGCAGAGCTTATCGCACTGTGAGCTGATCACTGACGATGGGATTCGCCACCTGGGCAACGGTGCCTGCGCCCACGACCGCCTGGAGGTGATTGAGCTGGACAACTGCCCTTTGATTACAGACGCCTCCTTGGAGCACCTCAAGAGCTGCCACAGCCTGGAGAGGATAGAGTTGTACGACTGTCAACAGATTTCACGGGCTGGAATCAAGAGACTCAGGGTAAAAAAAAAGGCATTTATTTAAGTAGGCACAAGTGAACGCTTTGCTAGTTCCTGGGCCTAGGAACTCCTTTCAGAAGATGATGCCGGGGGAAGCCCAGTGGGGTTTTATGTTAAATCTACACCACCTCCCTACCCCCTGCTAAGACTAAGGACATGCTGGCTAGTACATCAAAGTCTTAAGTTTGTTTTGAGGGGAGTGAGAAAGAACATCACACATAGCCCTCGGTGGTGTCAATGTGGGAATTATCTGCAGGGTTGGGGGGGGGCATTGACAACTGGGAACTTTCAACCAGGAAATTCCCCATGTTAGAGAAGGCCAAGTCTGTCTCTCATTCACAATACGTAGCCTCTTTTCCGAGCCACTTTGTTCAGTTCCTGTGCACCCTCATCTATTATGAGAGAACTTTAGTATTCACTCTTTCCAGTGGCCAGACTGAGCAGGTCAAGTGTTGCAGCTTCTGTGGCCCTTTATAACTCCTTGCCTAAACCCACAAATATATTCAGACATTCCTAATATTTAAGCTAAGAAATTTGGTTTTTCCTAGACGTAGAAATGATCTATTTCTTTCTGGTGTAGTGGGGGGGGCACACAATATACTCAGCCTCTTGTGGGACTGGAATAGGAAGAGGCAGATCAATGAAGAGCCTGCTTAAAACGGGATGCAGAGTTCAGGGAGTTTTTCAGTTCTTGGCAGCCACCTGTGTTTTCCTAAGTGAGGCCTACAAATCTACAATATGTTAGAAGCCTATATAGAATTAAAGGGTTCCCTTCTCTGGCCAGCAGAACAGTGGCGGGCTAGGAAGAAAACTGGCAAATATTGATATGCCAGTTACAGGGTGGGGAAAAGGGGGGAAGAATGAGGGGGAAACCAACACCTTCCCTGAAATGTCTCCCTGTTCCTTACGGAGATCTGCTTTGCAACTCATGAGCCCAGCGTCCTTCTGTGTGCAACCCATGCTCTCCCCCACCTTTCTGGTTTTTTTTTCTGAATGGGGAAATATATGTGTTTGTCTTTTCAGACCCACTTACCCAATATTAAAGTCCACGCCTACTTCGCACCCGTGACCCCACCACCATCTGTGGGGGGCAGCAGACAGCGCTTCTGCAGATGCTGCATCATCCTATGACGCGGGAGCCAATCTACCTTGTGCAAAACAAAAACTGAGTATTTAAATTACCCTTCTAGAAGTAACAGTGGACACCAGTATCTCCACACGACAAAAGTGATGCCGGTGGTCTCTCGCGAGGGCCTTTCGAAAAGAAAGGAAAGCAGGGGGAGCTGGTCGCAGAAGTTTCTTCCCGATTTTGCCCCATAAGCCACACACAAAAACACACACACTGCAGTATATACACCCACTCTCACCTACTTCTTCCAGCAAACTGAAGGACCTTGGAGTTTAGGAGCTGGATCAGTGGGCTCCTTCTCTCTCCCCCCCTTTTTTTCTCTTGTAGGTGGATTGGTATTATTATGAACCATTCCTACTGGGCATGCTCAGAAGAAATCATGGGGAGGTGGGTGGGAGAGAAAGTGGGGAGGTAGGGGATCATCGCGCACATCTGAAGAACTGCTGTTGCTGGGGGGGCGGGAGGGGAGAGGGTTGTTCTTTTGACATTGGAAGCAGCAAACTGGACAAACCCTTCGATGCAAGTGTGGAAGCAGCGGTGATAACCAAGGAAGGCAACAAAATAAGATGTTGAATCTTCACCACCACTGTCCAGAGAGGAGAAAAACGTAAAACCTTTAAAAGTCCATGGTTATATTTTTTACTTTTTAAAAATCATCATCCTTATGTTAGGGAATGTTGAAACAGCAGCCATTGTGAGACATTGATTCCTGCGCTTCTGTGCTTCCTCGTTTTCTGTGCCGGCACATCCACGGAGCATGCTCATGTTGAAGGTTCAGCGGTTTCTCTTCCATGTTTCCATAGCATTTGGCTCAGAGGCTTCCTAGATTGTTGTGACGATAAAGCTAGAAATCTGTAACGTCAGGTCTGATTTATTTTATTTTGTTTTGTTTTTTTCTCTCTCCCTTCTTCAGTATCTCCAGGTTTTCGGGGTTTTTTTTATTTATTTAAGAAAACCATTCTGAGATTGTATGAAATGACTGAACATAAAATATATGTTAAGCTATTTTCCTTTTTAAAAGGTGTATTTTACCACCAGGAGGCTAGGGTGAGCTTTGAAATCACAGCTGTGAAATGGGATGAAGTTCTGAAAGCAAAATTGCTTCTATAGAGAGTCTTCTCTAGGTTCTTTTAACAGTCCAATTGGGGCTCATAGCATCCTGTGTGTTCAAAGGTAACCCCGACGAAGAACAATGTGTAGCACAAATGGGAAATGGCACATAGCTGTGCTGTTCTATTTATTTGCCATAGTAATGCAATGGTATCATTAGAGCCACCTCTGAAAATCTTTCTTTATTTGATGTGGGGTTCTTGGCACCATCGCTAGACCTGTGTGTTCTCCCCTACAAATCAGTTACCCCCCTGATAGGGAAGTTGGCCAGATTCCTCCACTTCAGCATTAAATAACTGTACGTGTTGTTTCTTCAAAAGCACCGGAGCCATTTTTTGATGCCTTGCAGGGCCAGGTTGGGTAGCTGTTTTTATTTCTGGATGGGTTTTTAAAGGTCTTGTGGGCAGAGGCACAGCACCATATCAGTTTCCTCCAGTTTGAATGATTCCAGCATTTTGGTCGCCTGTTGCCCTTCCCATCACAAGTTGCCCTTCCCACCTTAACAGTTCCCAAACACATTTTTTCTTAATAGCACCTGCCGATTTGGCTGTTGTACAGAAAGCACAGGGGAATCCTTCATAATGAGAATTCTGTCCCGAGAAATCTGGCTTCCTTGCTGATGTACAATCCTTTGCTCTGCTAGTGAGCACATCCACATTTGCTAATGAGTGGTTTGTTTTGTTTTTTTAATTAGCCTGTTGCCAGTCCACTTCTGATCTACTGCTTTGTTTTCAACTGTGCTGGCTTCTGACTGTCCAAAGCATGGCTTGTAAAACAACTTTCCCACTGCACTTTGGTTGGATTCAAAAGCTCGATTGTCTAAGCCCGTAGAGTAGAAGATGGTTTCTTTTTTTTAAAAAAAGACCACCACGGTAACAGCAGTGCTCATGAGGATTCTTAAGGCAGATTGTGAGGCTTTGTAGGAAACGCATGCTCTGTTTCACTCTTGGCCTAAATGTTTTTAAGTGTCGGGGTCCCCATCCAAAACAGGAACCCAGCACAAATTGCACAAATAGTATGAGCTGGTCTCAAAGATATAATGGGAGGGGTGTCTGGCCCAGACAGCATCCTAGGTGCTGGATGATGAGATTAGGTATTCACTAATTTTCTGCTGTCCCGCCAAGATCACAGACCTCAGACAATTGTAGCTATAATTGGGGAAGGGCTTGGAGAACAGCTCTGTTTTATGGAAATTGTCCTGTGAAATGTTCTCTGCATTTTCCCAAAGCAGTAATCACGATTTCTTTTGATTCCAGAGGATTTGTGTTTTCTCAGTACTCCCAGAGAAACATATTTATACAGCAATCTTTGGTTTCTCAAACACACCTGTGTTAAATTTCCCAAACCCACCAATGTGGTTTTTCACAAGGCCTTCCAGCAGTTCAGACTGCTACCAAAGATCTGGAAAGGCGAAGCCTGTTTTTAAAATAATTCATTTTTTCCTTCCTTCCCCCAAAATCTTTTTTAAAACTTTTGATCTTCTTTCTTCCACCCAGATGTCTACTGATGATTCTTGTGAGTTTTGTGTCTTTAAAAAAACACACAACATTTTACGAACTCCAGCATAGAAATATGGTTGATAGTCTTCCCCTCCCATCTATGATTCGTGCATCTCGTTTCTAAAACTTGGCAGCATAATTCCATCTTTCGAATTCCAAACATCATTGTGGCAATTGCTGACATTGTGGAAACAACTCACTGTTGCAATGTTACTGAACCTCCTGAACAAGCCAGGAGTGTGTGTTTGTGTGTGTGCGTGTGCTGCCAGCTTGTCAGTGTTCAGCACAGCTCTTGAAAGTAGAACCTTCCTCTAGGAATGGAAGGAGGGGAGTAAAAGCTTGAGTGCAGTCCATCCAACTTTATTCCAGTGCAAACTGCTTGAAACGAATGGGAATTGTAGAGCAGCAGTGCTTGCTGCATTGCATGCAGTGTATTTGCATTTGTTCGATCGTAAGTAGTGGTTCTCCCTAAGGGCTGCCTTTAATCTCATGCACGTCATGTTGTGGAAACCGCTTACTCACAGTCGCGCACCACTGAGGGGTGTCCGTGTGTGGGAATATTTCATCCATATGGACAGGGCTAGTTGCAGGATTGTTTTCACCTAATCCGTCTCCAGATCGAAGCATTCAGCCTCCCCAACTAGGTGGAATAGCACCCCAGGGCAACTGTCTGCATGCCACTCTAAATGTGTGAAATGGACCTTAATTTGCCAGCAGTTCGTTTCCCAACATAGAGAAGTTGAGACCAAAGTGACGGTGCCGTGTTATTTTCAGGGGAAGGGCAGAACAGAAAGATAACTTGATTCATATCACTTGATTGAGAATTTTTAAAGCCAATAATCAAATCCTTCTCTTCCCCTCCACCCTTGTCAGTGTATTTATTAATAACATCAATAAACCACATTTTTCTAAGCTTGTCTTGTTAGAAGAATGGCTTTTGCATAGGATGAGAGCTCTGGTGTTCAGTCCTAGGTACTTCCTTCCTGTCACTTTATATTTTATTGCGCATTGAGACAGCTGTGTCTCTTGGGGAAAGGTAAATAAACATCACCACCTTCGAAGAAGGCCAAGTTCCCCTTCACTGCAACCAGCAGTGCATGCTGGTCCATAGAGCTGCAACGAGAGAGAGACCTGGGTTCCCATTTTAAATTTTGTGCACCCAGTGAGGTGTCAGCCACATGCCAGATTAGCTGCATAAATGCTCAGAAGGGGTTCCCTTTGTTTGTTAGATTGACCCTGAAGGCTTGCAATGTAAAGCAGTTCCCCATGACATGTGCAGAATCCCCACTTTACTTGCACGAAACCTGCAAGTAAACAATGGCAGATTTGATTTTTCAAGCCTTCTGAGCTCAGCGAGTACAAAAAGCACAATAACTTCTTATTGAGCCAAGGCCCCCCAGAAGCAACCATACCCATCTGTTAGCATGGATGGCTTGATGCAAGAATTAGCTGTGATTGTCAAGAATGCCTTTTCAGAGGCAAATATAACAGATGTTGGGAATAAACAGAAGGGCCGTCGCCTCAGTGGGAGCATCTGGCTGCTGCTTTTTGGGACAGATTAATCAGATCATATTTTTATTAGACATAATTTTGGAAGTAGTAATGTGTATTAACTCCCTGTGTATTAACTGACTGTTCGATACATACAGTGAGTTCTGGAAGTGCACTGTGTCATGAAAATGCCCCATTTTGTAAGGGACTCTATTTTTGTGGTGAAATAATTGTCTGTCCTCCACTGCCTGGTTGCTGGTGATCAGTTGGGGTGGGGAGAGACAAGGGGCGGAGAGCTGCATTTGATAGTCAAATTGCTAGGATCAATGGGAAGGCTGAATGTTGAAGAAACACAGCGAGAATTTAATAGCCTTGTGGCCAAAGTCTGTTCTAACCAGATGTGCCAAATCCATAATTACATGGAAAATGCCATTTTCTTTGCTCCCACAAATTCCAGCTACAGCAGCTCGCCCTGATTACCGAGTATATGAAGAGTGCTGTTGTCAGAAGGCCATTACGATCACTCTTAATTTTTACTCTTTACCTTCCTCGCCTTTTGGAAATCATGAAAACTCCAGATGTCAAAACTTAACAGCCTCGCCATTGGCTTCTCCTGTACCTGAACCATATTAAGTTGTACATGGTGAAAGCTACTTTTGTTGTAAGCCTTCTGCTATATCCTGTTGCATATTATGACAAGCTTGAGACCAGCGTGAAGGCAACAGGAATGAAGTTAACATCTGCAACCAGGTTCTCTGAAGAACCTCAAGCTCTGGAGGAACGCTGGATCAACAGAATTCGTTAGATTTCAAGGTACAACAATGCAGCCACTGGTCACAATTCTGAAACCATTCCCACAGTGGCTATTACTATGAACTCCAGGGGGGTATTTGTTTCCCCTCTTTTAATCTGAATATGGTAGGCATGGCTGGCCCATGGTATGATGTGATTCGACAGGTGTTGGGGAGGGAATTGTATGACATGGTTGCTTACACAGTAATGTTCTGTTTTAAGAGAGAAGGAGTATAGTAAGAGCCCTGGGCTACCCTTAATTTGTGATCTAATCTTTTGGTTAAGTTTGGGATGATTAGCGTTCAGAAATAATTGTATTAGACATATTAAGGATGCGGCTGGTATTCCACAGGCTGGATGTTTGATAGTTAAATACTAAATTTCATTCGCACTGAGAACCCTACAGTAGAATTGATTGTACCACCCGCTATCAGGAAACCTCTGGCACAGTAACTATAATGTGAACACTTTTTATTAAACAAACCCCATCATTCTTGGTGTGTTTAAAGGAATGTTGTGCTTTTCAAATTATTTTTAGGATTGCCCTCACATGTGACTCCTCCGAATTTCTTACTCAAAAGTTTAAAAGAAACACAACTTCTGATTGCTGCAGTGCAGTTCTTCTCACATTCCATGTGATGTTGAGCAGTTTTAAAAGCCAGCATATCTTCAAACGTTTTTATTAACAAGGCCCTCCATTTCTTCATAAAAAATTATATTGGATGCCCAGGTTGGAACCTTGCCGTTCAGCCCCCATAACTATAATACAGAGATATCTGTAAAATACTACTTTTATGATCCTGTAAACTGTGTTTTCACCTTTCCTGGACACTTGATTGTGAATATAATAATGTCAATTAACAAAAAGTAAAGCAAATATAAATATACAGGTATATGTAGCTCAATCTTTTCTTTTTCTGTCCATGTTACAATATTGTGATTTCGGCTAAGTTTGTAATGTGGGGAAATGGTCACGAAAAGAAAAGAAAAAGTTTCCAAATTGCGGCTGTGAAGGGTCCTGTGGTGAGAACTTTGTTTCTATGATTTGTCTTTGTTCCTGTGGCAGAATTTTTTGTGAACTTTGAGTAGGCCCAGAATAATAATCTGGAGATTTCTTTTGAGAGTCATTTTGTGAATAAGCCGTTATTATATATTTGATGGGAGCTGTAATACTAGTACTCTAGTTGAAATATTAAGTTTTTTAAGGATTGTATCCATCCACCATGTACCGTAGCGATTAGAGCTGTTGGCACAGGTGATCCTCGTTTTTGCACTGGGGGTTGCGTTCCGGACCCCCCACCCCCCAGCCAGCTCCATCCCTTTTTGTGACATCTTTATGACATTTTGGGGCTACTTCCGGTTTCAGCGCCAAGCATGTGCGCACGATCATGTGTCATTTGGACGTGCCTAACTAGGTATATGAGATGGTTTGCATAATCAAATGTGCCCATGCCGCCACTCAAAGCCCACTAAGACTGGAAACCACAGTACGTGTTTAAAAGACTTGTGTCTATGAGAACATAAAATGAGCCCATCTGGTCTAGCATCCAGTTCCCACGGATGCCTGGAGGAAAGCTGCAAGAGTTCCCTCTTCTCTCCTGCCTCACCCCAGGTTTCAGCAACAGAAGCATTGCTGCCTCCATCCATGAAGGCAGAGCATAGTCATCATGGCTAGTAGCCATGTATAACTGTATCCTTCATGAATTCACCCAGTCTTCTTTCGAAGGGGTTACAGTGGAGTGATCCCGAGAAGCACTTTCACACCAAATTGTGCTCATAGCGTATTTTCACCTGGGACCTGCTCTCAGTCTCAGGTCCTTGGCAAGTTTGTGTCCTTATGATATGTGTGTCCCATTCATGCTTTATATGTTGTGGTGTGTGCTTAAAATAACTGGAGTGCACACTTCAAATACAAGACTGGGAGATTGTAATGGTTCCTGTAACGGAGGCTGTAAATCAGTTTAGTCAGGCTTGTGCACTCAGCAATGCCTTGCCAAGTTATTAGAAGATTTCCCGTATCTGGAAGGGGAGAAATTCCAGGTCACAAGTGTGGCTGCACAAATACATTATGTGTATCTGACATAAAAATAGTCACTCTTGATTATTTTATAATTCTGTTACTGTTCCCCTATAGTGTGGAAGGATTAAAAACCATTAAAACACACACCCAGCTGGTAACAGATGGCAGTAAATCACAGCTGTTTTTTTAATATAAAAAGGCATAGACAAATACAAATACATCAAAATACAAATAGATATTTTTTTTTAGATTGCAGTTAATACTAATACATGAAAAAAAATGCTTTAAGCAGTATAAAGGCATATACCTTTCTTGGGAAAAGACATTTGAAAGCTAGTGGTTTGGAATAGTTTGTGTTTCTGGTCTACAGATCAAGTGCAACATTGGAGTTCGTAACCATTGGGACAATCCTATGCAACTTTGTGAGTGAGCCCCATTGAATTCAGTGGGGCTTTCTTCCAGGTAAGTATGTAGAATTGCAGCTTAAAGCTTCCATTAGATTTTTATGAACCACCTCTTTTCAATGTTTGATTGGCTTTTCTCTTTAATAAAACTGACACACAGAAATTGACATCCAGACTCCTGTAATTGGATAGCACCAGACAAACAAGCCTGGCTATTAAAGTGACCTCGCTATATCCTGAAAGTTAGAATACATACTGGAGGTTAAGCATTTGGTGTTTTAAGAAATGCACCATTAACAGATTCTCATTCTGCCAAGTGTGAAGCTGTCCCACCCCTCTTCTCCAGTTGTGGTGATGATACATCTCTCCAGCTTGACATTCTAACTACAGATTGTCCTGCCCAACAGAAACTCAGCGAACCAGTTTAACATGCATGCACACTAAAACTGTTGTCAAGCACTTTGGGGAAGGGGTGGTGGTGTCTCCTTCGCACATACAATTGGCCTCTGCTTGCAGGGGGCAAGCTATTCAGTAGATTGTACCCTGTGGTAAGTTGGGCTGAGAGCAGGAGCTGGAGAAGTTCTGAGCAAGCTACACTGGTAATCTCTGCCTTGTGGTACTGCTTGAAGATTAAAGATGTGCTTCCGCCTGAGAACTGATTAATTATACCACATAAAGGATAGCAGTGTAAGCATTTAGATAGCTAGGAGACCTCTTGCACTCCCAGCTAGATCCCTGGCGCCCATCTGTGCAGTGGGTGTTGTCAGGAAGCTGTTGCTCCCAAGGCCTCGTGTCAGATGCAGGTCAGCCATTCTGAAAATGGTTATGTAGGGACAACATATTCCAAAAAACAGCCATATGTCTTTTGCAACAGCTCTGCTAACCAATTATTGACACCGTGCTGGAACTTCAGTACTGTAGCAAAAGCCTGTGAGGTTTGGTTTTTGGGGTTTTTTTGTTTTTTTAAAAAACCTTTTAATTTTATCCTATATAGCCTATACACAAATATATCTTCCTTGGATACTATCTCACGTATAACTGACATCTCTGCTGCCTCCTTTATCAAGATAAAGCATGTTTGCTCATCCTGCTTGCTCATCAACTTGCTTCCCACCCTCTTATTGCAAGTTTCAGATGCAAGATGGAAAGCTGTTTCTGTGTTCAGTTTCGATGCAGACCTCTGTTGCTACAAACAAAAGCCAGTTTGGTCCTTCGGCTCCAGATCTTGAAGAGTTCAGCCTTGCGAAATCTTGCGTTCAATGAGATACAGTGAACTTGTGGTTTTTAATAACTCTCTCTCTATATATTATTATTATTATGCTTGCTTCTGCATCCCTTTGCTCCTCATCTTCTTGGAGGCCAGCGTCGTGTCATCTTCTAGAAGGTCCAGGTCTATTTTAGAACTAAGTGATAACCTTCTGTGTTCTGCACTGTAGTGACACACAACACAAATTAGTCATTTTCCAAGTGTTTCTTACTCATCCAGTGAATGGGTGGCTTTCGTATATTTTCATACATACGGATCCAGGGGCTAAGAATTATTAGCTTGGGGGTTCTAGCTGCCACTCCAGGGAAGCTGCCTGCACTTCTTGACTAGGCTAGACTGGGCTTGCTAGGGTTCATTTCAAAGTGGGTGGTTTGGGGCCAACTCTGGCATTTTGTGAGCCCTTGCGTAAGATCCAGCAAAGGAGTGTTCTGTGCCCTTGCCCAAGCAATTCAGCTAATACCAACTATTTGCCATCATCTTTTAGGTTTCTAACATGTGGAATGGCAAATTGAGGTGAGGAGTAGCTTGAAGAAGGCTGTCAAATTACTCCTTGTTTAAAACTATGATTTGAACTCAGATCCCTGTTCCTATAATCACTAGACTATAATGCCATATATTGTAAACCAAACTGAATATATGGCATTTTTCCCTGGGCTTACAGGGGACCACCTTCAAATGGGCTGCTCGCTTTAGGGTTCTTCTGTCCCCGTATTTACAAAATGTCTCAATTTGATTTTTCAGGGTGAGGAAGCCATGTTAGTCCACTACACCAAAGGAATAGGGAAGAGCCTTTGAGAGACTAGCATTTATTGTGGCAAAAGGATTTGTCCACTAAAACCCACTTGGTTACAAAGAATTATCCTTAGCTGGAAAACAAATCTGTCTATGCACAGAGACAAGATGATTTGCAAACTGAGTGCATGTGATAAAGCACCCTTGTTGGACTGAACGAGTGTGAGTCAGATCAGTGCCTGCATGGAAGGCTGACTAAAAATCTGCCTTCATGATGGAAGAAAGGCAGGAGAGAAACTGCTAAAAAGACTTGTAGCTTCCTTTAAAGACTTAACAAATTATCATGGCACAAGCTTTTGTGAACAATTGTCTATGTGTTAGATTTTCACCATTTTCTCCTTATTCCTGTGTCTCCATGGTTTGATAGGTCCCCCCCCCAATGTGCAGAGGGGGGAAATTGCCAACTGAGAGTACATCTGACAGTGAACTGTAGCCCATTTAAGTCAGTTTCACAACAAAGGAGTTGGCTTGTAAGGTGGTGCCACAAGATTCTGCTCTTTGTTACAGGTAAGCTCACCTACCTTTTGTTACAGCTGCTACAAAGGATGATTCGTCTGGAAGATTTCTGACCATCTGTGGCAACCCAGGAGAGAACAACAAGGCAAGGTTAGAAGCTGGCCGACCCCCTAGTAGCAGGTTTAAAGTCAACTTGGAGATTCTGGGTTTGTGTAAGAAAGGCACCCCAGAGACCTCAGGCCATCTCAGTGGCAGATGGCCATGATGTGTCGAAAGAGATAGCAGGCAAGTGTAAGACCCGGTGGCACTCTGAATATAACATGTGCATGTGAGTGTACGTGCACAGACAGTGTTAGTTTTTGAAAATAGATTTGTGCAAATTTAATTTGGCTCGAGAGTTTGGTTTGAATGCTTAAGGGTTCTTAGGTGGGGCTTGTAAAGTTTAGCACTGCTTCCGAACTTGTAGAGTTGGAGATGACCCTGAGGATCATCTAGTCTCTCCCCTTGAAATACAGGAATATGCAGCTGTCCCTTACGGGGGATTGAACTCATAACCTTGGCATTATCTGCACCAGGCTCTAACCAACTAATTTATCCAGCTGATCATAAGAATGTGGCCTACTCAGGTCTTCTGCACCAGACATTCCATGGTTGAAATATCTCCATCATCAACTCACCAGCCTCTGTCCTGCCTGCAAACTAATAAGGGGATAATACTGATCTACATAGGGTTTTAGTAATGTTAATGGAAGCACACTCTTTAAATAAAAAAAAAACCCACTCCTGTGTTGTAGCAACAGTGTTGGATACAGTAAAATGGTTTCATGTGGAGGGAAGTTCCATTTCTAAACATGCTCCAGGTTGCTGCAAGGTCAGTTGTAGCTCCCTGGTTCATGCTTCTGAATACACTTTGGGGTTCCTGTAGCAAAACATTGGGCCAAGGCAGCTCTACAGCTTCTGGCCCCTGTCCGAAGGAGGCCATGGTATTGGGCTTGAAAATAAGGCTCATACCTGATCGTTGACAAGGATGTGAATTCCTGTCGGCCCCTGCCTAGAAACCTGCTGAATCTGGTTGGCCGGGAGGCTGAGCAGTTCTGCCAGTTTATTGGTCAGCTCGCTGGCGGTCAGCTCTTCCAGATACAATTCCTGGTACAGGGCTTTGGGGAAAGGAAAAGGAAAACCCCACACTTTAAAACAAAGGGGATTGAAATTTGTGCCTCGAAAAACAAATGTTCAGGCCGAACACAAACATCAAAACGTTAGTATTGCTGCCAGGGAGGGTGTGCAAGTCCCTTGTGGGATGTTTTAAAATGTCATTTAAAAGCACAGAGAGGTTCTTCCTGCGCACTGGCAGGTGCGAATATATGGAGCCAGATAAAGGTCTAAACTTGGGAAAGTAAAACTGACTTACCAGACACTTCATTTGGAGAGACATTCCCGCTAGTTTCCACCTCCCTGGACACATAAAGGATGAGCCGAGGGCGCACACACCTGAGGGGAGGCAAAATTTTGTAGCCCACCAATACCTAGTAAGATGGCGTAGTGTGAAGATTGAGAATTTATGACCCTCTCCTATCAAACCCAACTGACAGGGTTAATGCAGTATAGCTTTCCCACTGCACTAAGCACCATCCCCAGGGCTTTGCCCTGTAAGGGAAACCCATTAGTGTTGTAGCCACCCATGCCTCTCTAAGGGGTGTTCTACAAGTGGGGCACCACCACCAAGAAGGCCCTGTGTCAGGTTCCCACGCCACCAGCAGCATCCTGCCCTTGGGATCACCATCTAGTGTAACCCAGTGACATCACCCTCTATACTGGTCTAGATGGCAGCTGCTGGTCACATCTTAGATGACATCTGCCCTAAGGGTTCCCTAGCTGGTGCCTGGCCCCATAGATAATTCTGGATGCTGGGGGCACATTAACAAATGGGATGGTGCCCCATGCATCACCTGGAGCTCCTTGGAGATGCAAATTCAATGATAAAAAGGGCCTACCAGATTACAGCCCAGAGATTTCCCTTTAACCTTTGAAATGCAGCTAGGTGGTGAGTCAGCTTTGGTGCCTTCCACCTGCTCCTTTTGCTCCCATTCCCGTTTCCCCACTTGCTCTTTGAGTCCTGCTTGCTTCAGCAGGCCAGGGAAGGTTGTGGGGTAGAAGAAGCCACAGCTGCCTTCTCTGATTCAACAAACATGAAGCTGGGTTGAATAATTGGCTTGACCGAGAATCACAGAGGGTCCCTCAGGGTTCTTTCCACCCCTCTGCAGTGCAAAAATATGCAGCTGTCCCATACGGGGATTGAACCTGCAACTTTAGCATTAGCAGCAGCACGAGCTAACCAGCTAACTCAGACATAATCCTGATAAGAGTTCAATGGGACTTTCTCCAAAGTAAGTGTGTCAAAGATTGCATCCTGACCCTTTGTGTATGTTTTATCAACACTAAGCTACTTTGAGAACGTATTTACAAGATGTAATAATATTCTTCCCGTTAGCTTTGCCCCCCCCTCCCCAATTTTAACTGAGGGGGGAATTAACATAATTCCATACCTGGCCTTTAGCGCATTTGAGAGTCTGATTCCATCTGCTGTTCCACAGATCTGCACAAGGTCCGTGCGTGAGAGCCTGAGCAAGTCAGCTCCTGCGGGAGGAAGTTAAAGAGAGGAATCTGTTGGCAAAATGGTCCCTGCTCAGAATTTGTCCTGAAGTTGTAAAATCCATGGTGCATCTTCCTGGGACAGCAGTGGGAGCAAAATAACTCGGAATCATAGAGTTGGAAGGGACAACAAAGATTTATGTAGTCCAACCCCCTGAAATTCAGGAATCTTTCACCCATTGCGGGGCTCGAACCCACAACCCTGAAACTGAGAGTCTCATGCTCTACCAAATGAGCTTTTTTGGGCTCGAGACAGAGTTGGCCCACTGTCAATTCTGATGCTTTTGTCCAGCCCATCACAACTTCAGGAAGGCTCACTCCACAATGTGCCTTGGAGTTAATTTCCTCCACCCTTTAAAATATTTCCAGGGTGTCGGGGCACAGCCAATCAATTTGTGACTATATGACACCATCAATGTACCTGGCGCTTTACATTGTCACATAATCGGAGACAGGAGTCTGCCTTGCGGAGATTGCAATCTAAATCTCGGCTTGCTCTGTCTGCGGCGCATAGTGGTGGCTTTCTCTCTGAACTTTAAAAATGTGTGACAGAGAGATTTCTCCATGTCTTTAAAAAATGTTTGTAGGGTGGGGGTTGTTCTGGTGGGAGACCAGAAAAGGGCACTTGTCGGGGGGGGGTGAATCAACATTTCAAGGGGGAGACGAGCTATGTGTTGGAAGAGGAAAAGCCTCACCTGTATAGCTGGCGAAAATCCGGGAGTAATTGGGGAACCTGTTTTTGTGCAACCATTGTTGGGTTTCCAAGATGGAAGCGCTGGGGCTCAGGGCCTGAAAGGAAGAGTGGGAGAAACATGGAGAAACCAACATCAGCTACAACCCAGAGGGCACTGGCGATCAGATACATCAAAGGCGGTATATAAATGCCCAAGTATAAGAACAATTGGAGTTTCTTGGCTTCCACACTTCGCTGGCTGGTGCCAAAAGATTTGGTAGGAGCCTGCTAAACATTCAACAGTGCTGCTTCACCCGTTCCAGGCAACCATCTATGACTGGATTCGGAGTGTCATGTCGATGTTTTAGGACTGAGCCCAGGAACCTTGAAGCCTTACCTAGAAGGTGGGGTTGCTGTAATGCCACCAACCCATATTATTTATTCAATTTATATCCTTCAACATCCCCTAGAGTCTAGATGACTTGCATGAATATTTAGGATTTCATTAAAAAAAATATTAAATGAAATTAAAAAAATGGCAGTTAATGGCACTATGCTGTTGCGGGACAAATTATTGGCAGGAATTTGAAAAAAGAACATTTTCAAAATCTGTTCCCGAGAGCCTTTGTGTGCAATCAGTTCAGAGACCTGGACGAGGTGTGGGCTGCAGGTGGCATGTTTCGAACTCAGTGCAGGGGGGGACGACAACCTTTGGGCTCTCTCCTCAGCTCCCGTTGGTGTTGCTTGGAAGAGCAACACCAACAAAAATGTTGACCTGGACAAGCCAGTGGCAATTATCTGGTGCTGTTGTATGTGGTGTGTCCTTTCCTAAGCACAGTGACACAACATGCATATGCCCTTTTCGGATGCCGGCTGCTAAAAGTAAAACCATCTGCTGCCACCGGGCGTCACTCTCATACCATGTTTGGGAAAGCAAAGCAAGAGAAGGCACAAGCTAGCAAAACTCCTACTGGGATTATGGGGCAGGGGTTCAGATCTCTTTGCTATCAAATAGTCCCTTTGCCTTGCCTCATGCCACTGATTGCTGACCCCTGTGCTAGAGCCTTCAGGGAACCCTTTTTGAATCAACTCATCAGCCAAGGATTGCTGGGCATTTTGCACACTCTCGGCAGAGCCAAGGCCGTAGCTAGGGGGTGGTGAGGTGGACCCCCACCAGGGGTGCAAAATCAGCAAAAAAAGTCTATAAATAAATATTGTTATTGCCTCATAAAAGGTTTTTAATAGAGGGTGAAGGGGGTGGTTGGAGGAGAGGCGGAAAGAGCTAATTCGTCCATGGCTAGGGGGCGCAATCTGGACATTCTGCCAGGGGCACTGGGCCACTATGCTTGGAGGCAGTAATGCTTCTGAATACCAGTTGCCGGAAACCACAGGAGGAGAGAGGGCTCTTGCGCTCGAATCCTGCTTGTGGGTTTCCCACAGGCATCTGGTTGGCCGCTGAGAGAACAGGATGCTGGACTAGACGGGCCACTGGTCTGATTCAGAAGAGCTGCTCTTATGTTCCTAATCTGAACAAATGAATGCAAACTACTAGGAAACGCCTCCTGGTTTTCATGGTGAGCCCAAGTGGTTGGGACCTGCGGAAAAATGGACCTAACTCTGTGGTTTTCTGAGATGCAGCTTTCTAAATGGTATCATATAAAACATTTTAAGATTGCACCAGTGCCTAGAAAATTTAAACTGAAAGAGATGAAAACTTTTACAAGGGTGAAGCCAGCCTATCGGTGTGTGTCCCATCCCCTGTCCCCCCGCCCCGCTTACCTCTGCCGTGCTCTCTGATGAGCTATCCAGGGTGTAGCCAGGTGAGGAGCACATCCTGCCAAACAGAGGAACAAAAGTGGGTTACAGTGGTACCTCGGGTTACAGACGCTTCAGGTTACAGACTCTACTAACCCAGAAATAGTACCTCGGGTTAAGAACTTTGCTTCAGGATGGGAACAGAAATCATGCAGCGGTAGCAGCGGGAGGCCCCATTAGCTAAAGTGGTACCTCAGGTTAAGAACAGTTTCAAGTTTTTTAGAACAGATCTCCAGAACGAATTTAGTTCTTAACCTGAGGTACCACTGTATTCAGTTTCGATGGCCAGGGTCCACCTCTAGATGGTCAGCATTTTGCAGGAGGGATTCAAACACAGACCAGATATTTAGGTTTGTGTGATTCCAGCAGTTCGAAGCGCTCTGTTGCCCTAGCACAACAAATCCGCTAAACTGGGGGCAGGGGGGGAGAGAAAGACCCGCCACGATTAGGCAAGTGACAGGAAAATGCCCTGGACAGTGTGGGGAAGATGAACAGTTTACAGGAAGACGTAGAAGCACAGCTGACACAAATCGGGAGGAATCCTCAATGTCATTTAACAACCTGGGAAGGAATGCTCAATAAAGACAGGAGATAGTCTGACCTCCGCATGAGCTTTGTGCAAGCAAGTCAGGACTAATGTGGGGGGCGGGGGGGGAGTCGTCCAGGGCTTCAAAAGGATGAGGTTCTTTTCTCATGCTACCACAGGCTCTTGCTTTGCCCAGCTTACCTTTCAGGGGTCTGAAGCTTGAAGGGATGGGGAGAGACAAGTCCAGGGGTGGTCGGAGGACTGTGAAGGTTGCCGGCAACTTCTGGCCATGGGGCACACTGGAAAAGGAGGGGAGAGGTGGTAAGAGGAAACAAAGACCAGGAGAGAAATGTTAGGCCTTGGATGCTGCAACATCTGGCACACTCACCCATCCTCTGGTGTTTTGGGGCTACAGCCCTCCTACTTCAGAGAACACCTATCAAAGGGCTGTGCGCATCATGGCACTGCATGGTTGCAGAAAGCTTTTGTTCAAAAAGCAAGTTCCTAGTCCTTATGGATGTGATAGTAGGCTTGACGCCTACTGGGCGACGCCTACTGAAAACCTAGATGCTGGATGAGGTGCTGAGGAGGATTCCCAGTGGACAAGGCTTTAGTGCCCTGCTTAACTCTTTATCTGCCCCTATAACTAGCAAAAGCAGTGTGAGATAAGAATGTGGCTGTTCATGGAACTTTGATTTGAATAAAGAAAAAGTATAGAACAATGAAGACACCAGGACTTAAGGGGCTATTAGGAATGGGAAGGGACCTGGACCATCAGCCTCCGACAGAATGGTTGTGCTGGCTAGGGCTGATGGGAGTTGAAGTTTAAAGCATCTTGTAGGCTCCAGGTTGGGGAAGCTGGCTCTAAGCTAGGGATGGGGGGAGCCTGTTGTTGGAGTTCAAATTGGACTTCAGCCCCAGCCATCATGGCCACTCATCAGGGATGGTACGAACTGCAGTCCAATAATTAGGCCTGGGCGATATATCCATGAGGATATGAGGAGCAGACCGCGATGTCAGCTTCACTCCGCAATATATCGCTGGTTGCTCCTGAGTCCCTCTGCTAGAGATTTCCTCCAGCAAGTGTTGCTAGCAGAGGGACTCAGGAGCTGTGGTGGTTTCACCAGCGATATATCGCTGAGCGAAACCACCATCCCACTCTGCCCTCATACTGCACAGAGGGAGAAAAAAGTGCATTGGCGAGGCGCCAATACAGCTTCTTCTCTCTGCATCTTTCAACTGCTCAGCTGAGGAGTGTTTGGTTGCCATTCCCCTTCAAGCAGTTATGGGGAGAGCACTGGGGATGGCTCTGCCGCTCCCCAGCTGAGCTGGACAAACAAGCTGCCTTGTCCCAGCCCACTAGGCACTGGGGTGAGGATGAAGCCAATGCAGCTTTGTTCTTTCAATGTCGCTGCATATCGCCAGAATGTTGGGCTGGTGATATTCCCTGATGTTTAAAAGCTGATATCACCCAGCCCTACCCACAATATCTGAAGGCCCAGAAGTTATAAGGCTAGGATAGATCAGTTGGCAAAGCACGAGATTCTTAATCTCTGGGTCGCAGGTTTGAGCCCCATGTTGGGCAAAGGATTCCTGTGTTGCAGGAGGCTGGACTAGATGACTCTTGGGGTAGCTTCCAACTCAACAATTCTTTTATTCTCAGTCCCTGCGGTAGAAAGGGAACCCGTACCTCTGTCAGCATGGTGCTTTCGTACGAGGGCTGGTATTTCTCACGCTCCTGAAGGGACTGCTTCTCAATCTTCTCCCGGTCTGTTTTTTGCTTCCGGTCTGCTCCTTTGGGCTGAAAAGTACACATTTGCTATATCTATAAAATCAAATTTTCACATACACCTACAGTATGGTCCTGTATATAGTTACTGGTAGCCCCCCCCCCATTTACGTTCTGATTTCACGCATCGGTGAAATCACGCATAATTGAAACCCATTGATAAAGCCTGCAAACACCCTGGCCTGCCCCTGTTCCGCCCTTTTAGCGATGTTTCAGTGATGTCTTTCTGGGTCACTTCTGGGTTTGGTGAGATGTGCTTATACATAGTTGTTTACATATTGAATACATGTAAACAACGGGGGGGCTGCCTATATTTGGAAGGAGCCCAGGGAGACAAATATTCCAAAAACAATGACAATTTAAAACATCAAAAATCAGTTGCAGTTTAAACAAACAAAAATATAAAAGCAGCCAAAAACATTCTTCTATCTAATGATCTCAGGGTTGCCTGGAATAGAATTCTTTAGCCACCAAACTCCTGGGTAAACAGGATTAAAAAACAACAACCCAACAACAACTTGAAAGTTAATGATGAAGATAGGGAACCAGCACTGAAAAGGCCCTGTCACAGATTAGCCCCCAACTGGGCAGCACTACTAACAAGGTCTCGCCTGCTGTTCATAGGGTTTGCTATTAGAGGGCATCCAATCCAGAAGCCAAATCAGATTCATACCCCCTTAGTTTTAGTAACGGCACACTAGTTTATTAGGTGCTCCCAACAAATTCACTGGGCCCAGGTTTTGCCTTATGTAGCATAATGCAACTTGGCTTATTTGCTCGAGTCACACAGAGCAGGCACTCTCTTGTTTACGCCTGCTTTCATTTTTCTGAAAGAGGAGCTCTGTGGCAAGGCTTCTTTGCTGGGAGGATACTGCTTCTGGGGGTGTTAGGTTTGATCACCAGCTCCTGCTGGGCAAGGCAGCATTACCTTGAAGACCTTGATGAGGCAGCTGGCCGAGTGCAAGTGCTCCACATGTTCCTCCTTCTCATTGGACCGGAAGGTGTCCACCTGGATTCGGAAGGGAACACCTTTCTCCCCACCGTTCTTGCGTAATGTGAATTCAGTACTGATGCAGTGGACCTGTTACCCAAAAGAAGTGGGGGAAGAGGAAGGTCAAAAAAAAGAGTAAGCAGCATCAACTGGGAATAGGGAGTGTTCATAGAGTTGTAGGGTTGGGAGGAAGGATTTTATTTAATTTTTTGCCTAGCGTGAGGCTCGAACCCACAACCTCGAGATTAAGCGTCTCGTGTGCTACTGACCGAGCTATCCTGCAGGCTTGCTGAACAAGGACTCTTCCAGTTCGGGCAGCTGCGTGGAAATGAGCCTTGTTACAGTCAAGAGTCTGTACAAAACAACTTTGCTCATTCCATGTGCAAGGCCAGAGTGGTAGCAAACATCCCTTTTAGTTCCAATGCTCAGGCACCCGTGCCGGTGTTTATGGGGCCAAAAACAATGCCACACGCAAACAAGGGGAAGTATCTGGATGTCTGGGGAACCCTAAGGCTTGCAGAAGTGCAGCCGGCCTTTTTAAGAGCATTGGCCCCACTAGCCCAGAATCCTGTTCTCACAGTGGCCAGCCAGACACCTATGGGAAGCCTGCAAGCTGAACCTGAGCATAAGAGCCCTCTCTTCCAGCAACTGGCATTCAGAAGCATTCCTGCCTCCAGTAGTGGAGGAAGAACCCTAGCTGTCAGATCTACTACCCATTGATAGCCTTATCCTATGAATTTATCTGATCCTCTTTTAAAGCCATCCATTGGAGTGGGGGCTCCATGAAACAGCCCAATGAAGACTTAAGCATGCTCAGTGAACACAGAATACTAACTGACTGCTGGGCAGCGGGAACGGAACGGAGTGCCTGGAATCCCGGTCCTTCTGCACTGTGACATTTTATTGTTGTTGTTGTTATTGTTGTTATTATTATTATTATTAAAAATTTTGTTGATTTACAAAAGTGTGCAATGTCTCTCGTATTTTTCCCCCATGTAACATTGTTACAAATCAGTTTCATTTGTTGAGACATTAGGAAGAAAAGGGGGAAAGAGGTGGAGGGGGGGAAAGATGGGTGGGGTGGGGTCGGGTGGCGATGTTTCTATTTTACTTACTATATGTAGGGTTTGGTGTCAGCGTTTCTTGTGCAGGTTCTTTGCTGTTTGCTTGTGTTCCTTTGGTGGTGAGAGAGGTTGGGGTTGGCCTAGGGTGTGGTTGTTCATTTATGGTTGGCTGTGGTGGTCTTTGTTTTCATGTGTGAGTGGGGTGGGTGGGTGTTTTGGATCAGGTTAGCTATATTGATTTGTAAGATGTTGGTGGATGTCGTCTTGTTGGGCTGTGTATGTGATAAAGGGGAGCCATGAAGGTGTCTTCTTCTATTTGTCTGCACTGCGACATTTTGTGGCAGCTCCTACTCACAGTACTATTGCCAGAGGTGGACTTTGGGCTCTCAAATTTCAGTGATGCTAAAATTCAACGCGCACATACACACACATGCCTATCACACTCCTTTCTACAGCATTATTTCAGCACCCCCTGAAGTGAGGTGCCCTTTGTTATGCCACCCTAAAACCGCTCCTGCTATTATGACTGCGACTCGTGTGTTTGCTCCCATCCGCTGACTGCTATTATCCTAACAGCATCTACTTGTTATTCAATTGCTGAAGGCGTGCAGTAAACACAGTCTACACATACTGTATTTACATTAAGTGCCAATGGTGTATGTCTTGGAAAATACAGAGGAAGCAAAACTGGCCTAAGGGGAAAGGGAATAAAGGCCCAAAGGAGGAGAAAGCAACTGTAGGAGTCAAGGAGTCCTACCGGCAGGTATCCCCACCTTGCTTGCTTACCTGGACAAAGACAGAAGTCCGCTTTGTCGGGTCCCACAGGAATTCCACGGTGTTGAGCAAGTTCGGGTGGATATGAGGTTCAAGGATGCCGACGGACATGGGGATATCTATAGTTGGCCATCAGAGGAAGAGGGGGTCAGGATTTCAGGGCCAGCTTACAATCGGAACAATTACCTTGGGGAGAGGGGTGCATGGAGCTCCCTCCCTGGGAGTGCACATAGAATCCTAGAAGGGATCTTGGAGATCCTCTCATCTGAGCCCCCTTGCTGAGAGCAGGATCCACAGTGCAGGATGCAACGGCACCTTCCCTGCTCGGTGCAACCCAGCCTCTGCTTAGATGTCCCCAGCGAATCTCTCCCATCACCTCCCAATACAGACTGTCTTTTGCTTCTCCTAATATTTTAGTGAAGCAGAAATTGGGCTGTCGCCTCCTGTCTCTCCACTGCCCTCCTTCAAATCCCTCTTCCGGGCTCAAGTTTCCCATGGAGACTTTGCCTTAAGAATCTATTGCTTCGTATTCCCAACAGTAACCAAATTTTAAGTCCACACAACTGCATTTTCCTCCTCCTCGCTTTCCCCTTTTGTTTTCCCCATTGACTATTTTATACTCAAAACCCCTTTTTGTTTTCCCTTATGATGTTCTGTTAAAGTGCCACAAATACTGATAGTCTTGTATGTATAAATACATTTCCCCCTCACCCTAAAGAAGAAGTCTCTGCCAGTGGAATGCAGAAGCAGAGAAATGTGGAGAGGGCCGAAAACGTGAAGCGGTGCTGGCGAAGCAGCGGCTGAGCAGGACAGCGTGCTCCAGAAAACCTTGAAATGTCAGGGTGGGAGTCGAGGCATTTGGAGACATAAAAATATCTCGCCCAGCCCCAGGTTAGGAGCAGAACGCATGAGAAAAGGACAAAGATTTCCCTGGCGGGTTTCTCACCAGATTTCTGTGAATAGAGCCGCTGCCAACGAGGGCTGCCCTGAGGCAAGACCTGCCCGGCCTCTTAGTCTTGTCAAAAGACCTTGATAGAGCAGATATTCCAGTGATGAGTCTCCAGGGCAGGCCCCAAACATTTTCCTGCCTCAGGCAAAGGACATGAAGGCACTCGGGCACCTATTCAAGGTGCTGACATTAGTGTTTAAATGACTCTTTCGCTACAGACCCTCTTGGGTGCTGGGATTGGCAGAGGGGATGCTCTTGGATGTTTCACCTCAGAAAATTGTGGGGATGCCAGGAGAGGGCATTCTCTGTGGCAGCCCCAAAGTTGTGGATCTCCCTCCCCACAGCAGTGTGTCTGGCACCTTCGCTACACAGCTTTTGGTGAGTGCTGAAAATGCACCTCTGGCCTTGTGACATTTGAGATGTATATTTTTAGGATGCACCCTATTCTTGTGATCCTCATGGGTAGGCAAACTAAGGCCCGGGGCCAGATCCGGCCGGCCCAATTGCCTTCTAAATCCGGCCCGTGGACGGTCCGGGAATCAGCGTGTTTTTACATGAGTAGAATGTGTGCTTTTATTTAAAGTGCATCTCTGGGTTATTTGTGGGGCCATAGGAATTCGTTCTCTATTTTTTTTTTTATTCAAAATATATTCCAGCCCCCCCCCCAAGGTCTGAGGGACAGTGGACCGGCCCCCTGCTGAAAAAGTTTGCTGACCCCTAGATCTTGTGATCCTAAGTTGTTTTAAACTGCTTCTAATGTTCTTTTTAAAATTGTTGTAACATGGCCTGGAACCTTATGGGAAAAAGTGGGTTGTTGTTATATTATAATGTACTTTTATAATAATACATTATAATATAATGCGGGAGCAGTGGACCTTGGAGTCTTCAAGCAACCCCTCCACCCATGCACAATTCTACATTTGTAAATAAATGCAAACATTGCAAAACTCTAATAATCCTCCTTCCCTTTTTTCATATTTTATTTTCAATAATTTAACAATTTAACATCCAAATTACTTACTTCTTCTTCCCTTCTAAGATTCCCCACCCCACCCCTGGTTTCCAATTTCTCTCCTTTATTACCTTAAAGGTAAAGGTAAAGGTACCCCTGCCCGTACGGGCCAGTCTTGACAGACTCTAGGGTTGTGCGCCCATCTCACTCAAGAGGCCGGGGGCCAGCGCTGTCCGGAGACACTTCTGGGACACGTGGCCAGCGTGACAAAGCTGCATCTGGCGAGCCAGCACAGCACACGGAAACGCCGTTTACCTTCCTGCCAGTAAGCGGTCCCTATTTATCTACTTGCACCCGGGGGTGCTTTCAAACTGCTAGGTTGGCAGGCGCTGGGACCGAGCAACGGGAGCGCACCCCGCCATGGGGATTCAAACCGCCGACCTTTTGATCGGCAAGCCCTAGGCGCTGAGGCTTTTACCCACAGCGCCACCCGCGTCCCCTCCTTTATTACCTTACACATCTTTAATTTTCCATTCCGTTACAAGTCCATTGATAACCCTAATTCACGCTAGTGAAGTAATGTGAACCAGTGACCTCCTTACAAGGGAGCCCTGTGCCCCTGGAATTTCTCATTGCTCACAGAAGTGGGGCAAATGTTCCCTGCATCCTAGCACTTATTTTCTACTGAAGCCGAAGCTTTTCTTAAGGGGGACCCTTAACCTTGTTCTGTTGACTGGGTTTCGCTTACAAAAAACTCAATCTGATCTTCAATCTGATCTTCACTAAAATCATCATGAAGCATTCCCAGTTACAGAAGACTGACGGTTATGTTGAAGGTTTAAAAGAAGCAAGGTTTAGAAGTATTTAAATGGGCGCAAAGTCTCCAGGGCCCAATTAAAAAATGAATCATTACTTACCAATATCCAGGATGCGGTCACCTGGCCTGTTCCACCTCCATCCCTCCAGCTGCTGGTGTTCAGTATACTGTAGTCGCCGGTCATGGAATACCACCCTGACAACACTCTGACAGGGAGAAGGAGGTGTCAGAGATTCCCTAGGATCCACTTCTACCACTGGGGAAGTGCAATTCATCAAACACAACTTACGCATCCTTTTCTCCTAAAATGCATAGGTCTGAAAGCACTCCCAATTAGGAATGTTGAAAACATTCAGATTTAAGAAAAGAGAAATCCAAATGTTTTTGCTAGCAAATGAATAACAGAAGAGCAGGAATGAGAAGGGAGCATCTACAAGCAAGGCATGGTGGGAATATCCCAACATCTGGGACCTTTGCTTTCAACAGAGAGATTGTGCATCTAGCTGTTGTAACTTAGTGGCTGGAGCTATCTTCTATATACTCATTTATTTGTCCCCCCCCCCCAAAAAAAAAAAACAACAAACATTTGCAACATATATGGTGTCAATGAATTTCAAAAGCTAATTATGCATTATGAGCATCCCAGGTTTTTTTGTTTAATGCCAGTCAAATCTCCCTTTCCATCCTCACCTTCAGTAACTTGCGCCCCTCTGCAAACTCTCCCATCTTGGGATTGCACAGCATCCGGATCTCATAAGATTGCCCTAGAAAAGAGCAGAATATGTCAGGAATGGGAGGCTGATGTATAAAAATAGGTCAAGAATCTGGAATATCAGGCACAAATTTTCACCAATGATTATCTAAGCCTAACATGGGTCTTGAACCCACAACCCTGAGATTATGAGTCTCATGCTCTGCCGACTGAACTATTTGGCTAGCAAAGGTTCATGTGTACATTTGTAGCTTTAGTATTTTACAGTATCTGATGGGCAGCTTGCAATATGATGTAATACATTTTATGTTAACCTGAATAATTAATCAACCAGAAAACATCCCATCGAAAGCATGCAATTTTAAGCCTATCAGTCAAATGTCGGATTCCGAATCAAGCTTTGATGCTGAAATCCAAATTGCAAAACTTGAAAATTTTGAAATTTCACTTGAGTTCTAGTCTAGCACCTTTGATATAGCAGGAATTTTACATGGGCCGTGGATGGGAAGCCTCTTGCTCACATGCGCGGCACTTTTGGTCCTCCGGATGTTGCTGAGCTACAACTCTCATCATCCCTGGCTATGCTTGCTGGGGCTGATGGGAATTGTAGTTCAGCAGCATCTGCAGGGCCAAGGATCCCCCCACCCCTGCTGTGTCACCCTCCACAATTCCCTTCATCCCTCACCACTGGCCATGCCGGCTGTGGCTGGTGGAAGTTGGGAGTTCAACAATATCTGGAAGTCAAAACCCATCAGCAGCGTCTGCATCCATGCAAAACCTTCTGAAACCTCAACGAACTGCTAGCAGCATTCTGAGCTGTAAAAGCCAGCCTGAGCTGTTGGTTTGTTTGTTTTTAAGCTTCTTGGATGCTTACCATCCTATTCACTGTGTCTATTGAAGAGGCAAGACATCTGTCCATGCCTTATGTTCACCACTAGGGGTCAGCATCTAGGCAAAGTTCACTCCATCCTCAGCACACACACACCTGCCCTAAACCTTACCTTGGTTGAGATAGGTAAGGGTCTCCTCATGCTGCTTGACAGCTGGAGAGGTAACGGCACACAGAACATACTGGAAAGAAGGGCAGTGCTGTTCGGCGGACGTGGAGATGCTGTTTGGTTCTTCCTGTTTCAGGAATGGCAATGTCAGGGATTCCCTGCAGGTAGCAAGGGAGAGGGGCACTTACAAATGATGATTTTACACTCAGCTGAGGGGAGAAACCCCTGCATAGACAACATGTACATGAAGGAAGTAGCCTGCAGGCAGAGAGCCAGTTTGGTGTAGTGGTTAGAGTGTTGGACTAAGACCTGGGAGACCCAGGGTTCAAATCCCCACTCGGCCATGAAGTCCGCACCTTGGGTCAGTCACTGCCTCTCAACTTAACCTACTTCACAGGTTTGTTGTGAGGATTAAATGTATACAGTACCTCCTTGTGGTTTCTGGAGGAAAAGGTGGGGCATAAATGCAACATATATACAGTGGTACCTCTGGTTGCGAACGGGATCTGTTCCAGAGGCCCGTTCGCAACATGAAAAGCCCGCAACCTGAAGCGCGATTTTGTGCTTGTGCGCATGTGCAAAGCACAATTTAGCGCTTCTGCGCATGTGCGAGCGATGAAACCCGGAAGTAGCCCTTTCTGATACTTCCAGGTCGCGGCGGGACGCAACCTGAAAGAACGTAACATGAAGCAAATGTAACATGAGGTATGACTATATTCAAACTCACTTAAAAACTCCATATGTACATATATGCAGTGTGCAAATGTCAGGATGCCGAATCCAACAATAGCTTCCCTGTGCATAGATGGTGCAGTATGGCTAGTTGTTTACGCGCAAATTACCTGCTAATTTCTACATCCTTGCCCTTTCTATGTAGGAGTATCATGAGTCATAAGGCATTGGGTGGGGAGTGAGTTTGTTCCCTCGTCCCACTTCTGAGTGTTCAATGTGCCCTAGGTAGGACACAGCTTTTGTCTGAAAGCATCTCTCTCACACGTTCTGTCCAGCACTGACAACATTCACATCCGTCTTACAAATAAAGCAAGCAAAGGTTACTAGACTGCCCAATTTATAATTAGCCGGCTTGCCAAAATGTAGCCGAGTTACTCGTTAGTGGCGCATTTAACAGCTCCGAAGGGAAAGAAAGGAGGAAAGAAAAGAAACAGCTCTCTTCTGGTTGACAAAAGCTTCCTTGCCCGCTCTCCTGGGGGCAATTCTTTACCCCAGACTGCCGGGTGAGTCTCTCTGTGTGCAAGCCTGTTTTCACATGTCATGAGTCTGCAAAAAGGCTTTCGACAATACCCGCCGCATTTAGCTAGGTTGCTCTCTGGGTGGCTTGGGGTCAGTCCCTGTCTTCCTCCCACCTGACGTACGTCACAGACGTCTTTCTGCCTGCCTCTTGCATCTCTCTGGCCTTGGACTCTTAAATGGAACCGTTTAACAGAACTTGTGGGCGGCTGCAAAATCTAGGCTTCAACAGGCTCGCTTGTCACGCTCAGGGCTTGAAGAGGCCTCTGGGGTGGTTTTCTAGACTTTAAAAATAAATCCACCTCTGCAGAGTTGCAGTCTGGATGAACGAGAGGTCCGGGTGGTAGAGGAGGTGTTAGGAAAGGTGAGCTTCAGAGCAGGTTCAAAGGAAGCTTTTGGTTAGGGAGAGGGAGGCAGAGTAGAGGAGGAGACCCCCTCCGAGAGTTGCAAGCATGGCCGAAGGCAGAGATAGGAGCATGAGGAAAGATGCAGAGGTGGGCAAGAGTGGAGGGAGCAAAGGAAGAAGGGGCAGAGGAGAAAGAACCAGGAGGTGAAAAACTCTGGACAGCAGTTTGGGAGGAGACTGGTGAGGCATGCTAGAGCAGTCTTGCAGGTGGGGATACAAAGCACCCCCAAAGAGCCAACAAACATAGTTGAACCCAAGAAGGAAAGCAACAGGATATCCACCCAAATCATTGGTTCATTCACAAGTCCATAAAGTCTCCCTCGCATGGATGAATCTTGGCTTCTGTGCTGTGAAGCTTAATTTCCTAGAATTTGTTTAGGAAACTTAACTACTGCAAGACGTAGCAATGCCGCTAGTGTAGGTGGGTTTAAAATAGGTCACAAGCAAATCTGTGGGAGGTGAGTCTGTGGAGGGGATATCAGCCGAAATAGTTGAAGTGGAGCCTCCCTGTGCAGAGGCAGTCTACCTCCAAATAGCAGATCCCTCTCGGCTTGTGAGATTTCACAAGACCTGCTGTTGGAAGCGAGCTAGATGAGCTGTTGGTCTATAGTGAGGCTGTTTGAAAGGTTCTAAGCAGCACCAGTAACTCCTGCCACTATTCTACGCATCCCTTCCTGAATAAATTTCAGGCTTCTGCATGAACTTTCCACCTCCCCGACCTCTGCGGATGGCGTTGGGTGGGAAGGGAAAGGCAGGGCAGGGCAGGGCAAAGCAGAAAAAAGAAGGCCTCACCTTATAATGTTGCTTCCAGAGCAAGGATACACTTCCCCCGGGCTTGGCCAGTAATGATCAGGTTGGCTGTGCCAGAAAAGCATGATTGGCAGATCCCAAAAAAAAGATGGACTAGGAAAATACCAGAGAAAAAGAAAAGAAAGTCTTAGCTCTGCAGCAGGCTGTGGCTGTTGTGCAACTGGGACCATCCCTTTTCTTTTTATGCACCTGCCGGCCAGGTGGGAGTGTTCAAAAGGAAATGCCATTCAATTGGCTGAGGGTTAAATACCTTGGATAACAGCATTTTATAGCCTTTTCCTTTCCTGGGGTTGACCAGGGGAACTGATGGGTGCCAAGGACCCAGGACACATTTCTTTACTTAAAGAATAGCCCACAACCTCATTAAAGAGAGACATGGGTGTATAGTCCAAAAGAGCAGAGAAAGAAGCATGAAAAAGCCCAGGCAGGTAAAAAAACAACAACAATCTGGTGGCTAAACCCCAAAGTCAGGTAAAATTGCCTGTTTGGAACTAGGTTTCATTGGGCAGCGCTGGATAAATTTTAAACCCTTATCTATACATTTTGAGCAATCAACAAACTATCACTATTAAATGAAATCATTCAGAGGGAAGGGAGGGAGATAAAAGAATAATTGCTTGCATATGTTTGTAAATGTAATTGCAGACAGGAAGAGCAAAATAATTTCTGCTTAAACCACTTGCAAAATAAAACAATAATGTTCCATTGGCTGCTGGAGCAAACTGCGTGACAGAATAAACTGTGGTTTCCGATCCGCATTTTAATCCAGCATTCTGTATTTTTAGATATAGTTTAGAGGGGCTGGTTAGAAAAGGTCTCTCTTTCTGGAACCCCCATCCCAGTGCAGAAGGGGAAAGTCTCCATTGCCACAGGATAACTGGGGGAGCTTTGTGTACACACAAACAGCAAAGTCTTCTCAAAACATTGAATACAATGTGGATTCCATCGATGTTGCATTGCCTTTCTTTTTGAATGCAGAGTGAGCCTCCCTCCTCAGACTGCCTTCAGTGATAACAGGGGTGAATCCTTCTAGGCATGGGCAGGGCACTTTACCTTAACTGCTGATCTGTCACAGCCAGCTGTCACTGCTTTCAGGTCAACTGAAATGTCTTCCTGGCAGGCTCAGACTCCAGAACACCCCCCTTTTAGAAAGGGAACCCCTGGTGGGAATTTACATGTGGCTTGCTTGAAAGCAAGCACAGTTCTAGAGTATCCAGCAATCCGTCACACTCTGGTGTGACCAAGATACAGAAAACAAGCAGAATGGGGCTTTGCAGCCTGGTTCACAATGGCTGGTGTCAGCAGCGGGCAGATTTAGCACCCACTTCAGTGGTGTATCCTGAAGTGCACCCCAATACTTCCTTCTATATGCTTGGTCCCTTCACTGGGAGAAACCAAAACTCGGCACTTTTTCGACATTCATTTATCAGGCTTGTTTGTTTTAATACCTCCCTATGATGTGCAAATATCAGGACGGTTTATACGTGTAAAAGTAGAAAGAAAATACCAAAAGCAGATGCAAAATTATTATTATTTTTAAAAAAACTGGAAGGTGGAAAAGCACTGTGGCAAAAGCCTTTTGGGGTGAGAGGTCTCTTTCCTTGGTGATGGAAAGTCCTTGGTGCTTAACATAGGCAGCTGGTGAGCTTCCCTAGGGAGAAAGTTCCATAAGAGGGCAGACTCTCTCCCCAGGGATACCATGGCTATGATGATAGTGAAACCAAGAGAGAGAGAGAGAGAGAGAGAGAGAGAGAGAGAGAGAGGAGAGTTAGCAGGATCACACTCCTCTGTCCATAGGTCTGGCCAAGGCACTGTGCCAAAACCAGGCCTGGAGTTGAAGGGCAACCACCTCACCCAATTGCCTTGCCCAAGAAGATGATATACGGTATATATAAAACTGTCTGGTAGCTGTTAGAATCCCTGAGGTCCACCCAGGGAGTGGTCTCACTCAGCCACCTCTTTCAAGGCAATCAGGACCAGCCCCTTTCACAGTGAGGCACTGACCTGGACCCAGGCACCTTGCAAAAACCAGAGCCAAGGTGAGCCAAAGGTCAAGCAGACATGCGGTTGGCCACACCTCCTCCAAGCACTTCATTCACCTTCTCAGACCACTGGCCTTCCACAGCATCCAGGGATGGAGAATCTGTGGTCATAAACATAAAACTAGATGGTGCTCTGATTGCAACCATTGTCTGGACTGATCTGTAGAAACAACAGTATCTGGAGTCAAGATAGATACGGACTAATTTATCCTCAAACTGCTTTGCAATCATGGCACCATATGCCTTTATAGGGAAGGGCAGAACTTGCCCTGGAGTCCTGATAATGGACAGCCCAGCCCATCCTTCACTGACCAGGCTCTGGCAGACGTCCTCCCCATATGCGCACAAACACCCCACCCATCCTAATGACAGAACTAGTCCTGGGAATCATAATCAGACTTCTGCAGCTCATTTCAAATGTTCAAAGCCCTTCGCCTCCCTCATTGCAGTGCAAAAGCCCCACAAAGTAGGTCAGCTTTGTTCTTCTCACATTGCAGAAAGGGTGTCTGAGGCTGATCAGATGGCGGCTTGCCCAAGGCCTCCTAGCAGATTTGTGACAGCCATACAGGATTGGTGCTGTCACCTGGCATCCTTGGACCATTGCCAGGGCCCAGACAAGACCCACTGCTGATGCCTCTCCCTGGAATGCTTAAAATTCTGGCCCTGTGCTCAGAGTAGCCCCAGGTAGCCGGTCCAGTTTCCCACAATGCTCCTCACCTAACATCGCATCTAAGATGACAGCCACCCACCCAAATAAGTTTTTTCTGGGACTGAGAAAGAGAGGAAGGGACCCACTAGGGCCCCCCTCAAACCTGAAGCTGGTCAATATATTACACATGTTTAGGGCAGTTTTTAATATTTAATGCTGTATTGTTTTTAACACTCAATTGGGAGCCGCCCAGAGTGGCTGGGGAAACTCAGCCCGATGGGCGGGGTATAAATAATAAATTATTATTATTATTATTATTATTATTATTATTATTATTATTATTATTATTATTATCATCATCAGAGATCTGGTTCAAACCAGGGACTCCCCATTTCCCCTTCTAAATCCACTTTACTACACATGGCTCTCTCTTTGGGGCAATTAGAAGCCTTCCAATTCCACCACCTAAAAGTGTGTCTTCCTGAGAGCTGGCCTCACAATGGGTTAACTTTGGAGGCAGTGTTGGTATTAATGACTGTTGCATAGTCAAACACAGAGTTGCCTGGAGTGTGTAGGAGGTCAGTGGGGGAAATGGGGTCTGACGCAGTAAGGCAGGAAGAATCCTTTCGGCTCTTGCGCAACCATCCTGGAGCCATTTCCGTATTATTACGGAGAAGGGTTATAAATGTGTCATTATGTAAATCCTCCAAGTCAGACAATCACTACCAGAATGAAAAGAGGGGAAGGGCAGTGGGGGGGTGGAATTGTTGCCTGCTCCTCACCTCTTGCCGGACGATTCCCAATTGTGTGATTGTTTTGGCAGCGTCACCGCCAGCATCATAAAAGTGAACTTGCCCGGCGTGTTCAAGAGCCCAGTGTCAATTCCGGAGACGGGCAAATTGCACCTGTACTTCGTACAGCAGGTCTGTGGGAGGTACGTGGGATGCCATAGCTCAGTGGCAAAGCACATTCTTGGCATGCGTCCAGTCCTCTGCATCTCTCAGAAGGCCTTTGCTCTGAAACCCTGGAGAGCGCAAGTTGCACTCTGTAGAACACTATATTCTATTGGAAGGGCAGTCCGGGTTCAAGTCTGGCGAATAAAGAAAGAAGCTAAGAAGGGTGAGCAGGAGACTTGAAGTTGCCCTTCAAGTCAAGGCTGGTTCAAGATATTTTGCTGCCTGAGGCCAAAGACAATATGGGCACGCATCTACACACACATGTCCCGTGTGTGGTAACAGACCACACTGGAAGTTGAACCCTCCCCATGATGAGACCGTGTCCTCCATCACACCTGAGTTAAGTGGGCTAGCATAAGAGGCTCAGTGCAGGCTGTGTGGAGAACACACACAGAGCTCAGTTCTCCCAACCCACCCCACACACTGATAATTTTACTATTTATACCCCACACATCTTACTGGGTTGCCACTCTGGGCAGCTACCAACATATATTAAAGCATAATAAAACACTAAACATTTTTTAAAAAACCTTCCCTATACAGGATTGCCTTCAGATGGCTCAGGGGTCAGATAACTCCATACCCTCCATCCTTTCTCCAATGAAAATAGGGATGTTCTAAGGAAGGGGACATTCCGGGATCAGATCAGAAACTGGGATGGCTTCTCTAAATCAGGGATGTCACTAGAAAACAGGGACACTTAGGAGGGTCTGCAATTTGCATAGGGCTGGGGGAATCCTCCAGAAAATTCAAGTGTGCACAATTCTCCTAATAAAACTCTTTTTTTAAATGGAGCTTTGCCTGAAGTACATTTTTGCAAGAATTTTTTCCTGTTGATTTTGTGTGTATTACTTATCATGATAGGTGCCTTGTTGTGGCATGAACACTTTCACCTACTACAGGGATTTGGGGGGGGGGGTGTCATCCCCTCCCCTGCCTTAATACAGCCGTACCTTGGAAGTCAAACAGAATCTGTTCTGGAACGGATTAAGTCCATTTGACTTCCAATACGTTTGGGAACCAAAGCGCGGCTTCTGATTGGCTGCAGGAAGCTCCTGCAACCAATCAGAAGCCATGGAAGCCCCATCAGACATTTGGGTTCCAAAGAATGCTCACAAACCGGAACACTCACTTCTGGGTTTGGGGTGTTCGGGAGCCAAAACGTCTGAGTACCAAGGCATTTGGGATTGAAGGTGTGACTGTAAATGCATTTTTGTAGACATTGGTGGGTTGGGGAACATCACTGCAACCTTAGAAGAAGTGTGAACTTTAAAGGGGAGCCATGGTTTGGTTTTGCATATTGGCTGAGAAGTGTGGATTAGGGTAGTTTCGTATTAAAATGGCAACAAAATTGAATTTCACCTGCCCCTCCCTACCTGGACTACCATTCAACATATTAGTCCATGAATTTGAGGACAGTCACATTACCTATCAGCTTATGACATACCCTCCAACATTTCTCTGATGTCCTAAGGAAAAGCGGGACATTCAAGGACATTCTGGCTTCTGTAAATCCAGGACTGTACTTGGAAAATAGCAACCCTCAGAGGGTCTGTTATGAATGTTGATAATTCTCTACTCCCACTATGAAAGCTAAACCATGACTCAGCACTAAAATTCTGATTAGGAGAATCCTAAATTCATTTTTTAAAGAAAATTTGAGTTGGGCAAACATTGCTTAAGCTTTTCCCCTCTCCCCATTATATTTCACCGTGTCCCATTCCAGAAGGGAGTAAATTCCAGTTCCAGGTTTTCTTTGGTAGAGAATATTGCAATGGAGTAGAGCGATCCTTAGCTGGCAGCTGGCATGTAAGGAACCCTTGGCCCCTGGTGGAATCCTGTGCCAGGGCAAGATCCTCTTCTGGAACAGATTCCCTGCAATCAGGAGAAGTGAAGCAGAAAAGCTGGTTGAATCTAAGAGAGTCACTTTGGGCCCCGGGGATGAGGGACCTTGAGAGAAACTCATCTTAAAACAGAGTGTTACTAGCTCTGGGATGCTGACGGTGTGCTAAGCATCCATTCTACAGCTCTTCTTCTTCTTCCTACGCAGTCGCTCTGACTAAGAAGGTTCAGCAAAGGCCATGGAGAGAGGAGACTCGGTGGGGCATGAGTCATATATGCTGCCATACAGAGCTTTGGCAGCTTACAACTTCCCTATGATTGCATTTGGGCAAAATGAATGTTTTTGTGCTCCAGTTGCCAGACAAATAGGAAAGGTAATTCTGTCTTCTGCTGTGCCATGCATGTGAAAATGATTGTTCTGTGAAGGTACTGTTTGCAGTGGGGATTTTTTTAAAAAATAGTTCAAGTTTCTAGGCCTCATTATGGTGGAACCGTACACCCTGAAACCACGTATCTGCAAACAGATCCGGTGCTCATTTCTTGTCTATTTGGTTGCTTAATTAACTCTATCCATTCCTCTCCTGCTTATCCCTGAACACCCCCCCCAAAAAAAAACACACACACCCCCCCCCAAAAAACCCCACCACATCCTGATTTTTGCACCAGTTCACTTACTAAGTTTGTAACAAAAGCATTAGCAAGTCCCAGCATCAAGGTGATGTAGACTAATTTCACAACAGATTTGCTAATGCTCGAATCTCCTTAAAATCCCCAACCCCAACCTGGAAATCTTGCTCCTACCTAATCCCTAACTTTGTAGGGTTGGCTGTGGTTATTTAGTGGTGACGTAGGGGTGCTCTGTGCATGCTCAAGGGCACAGTCATCTTTATTATTACTTTATACAGTTCCCAGGCTTTGCTTCTGGAGCTGAGACCCTCATTATCTCTGGCTCCTTCTGGGGTTTAGATGAGCTAACTTGGGATGTTTGTTTTGGGAGCTGAACTGGAAGCCTCGCCAGTTTTATTATTCAGAAATAGCTCCTTTGTACTCTTCCCTATACTGTAACTTGTTGCTTACTTTCCCCATATAATGAGTTCAAAACAAGGGGTGAGGAAAGGAAATATCCACAATATGGAATGTTCTCTGAATACGAAATCAGGGTTTACAGCAAACAATTTTTAAAAGGGTGGGAGTTGTTGTGAAAATGGGCAGGAAGAGAGGATAGAACCCTTGGCTGGAGGAATCGCCCAGAGGAATCACGGTCTGAATGCCCAAGGTTTAATTCAAGGTGACAAATGTCTCCCCAAATAGTTCAGGAAGCAGTGAACAGCTACAACCAGGACTAGATACTTGATCACATAATTGATCACAAGGGGTGCTTCCCATGGGTTCAGACAGATATCTGGTTTGGCACTGCATCTCTGTGGCCAGCCAGATGCCACTCATCTGTCCCCAGGATTTGGCCATCAAACGAATCCTGCCTGAAACACAGAGGGTGGTATTCCATGATAGTCCTGCTCAGAGTAGACCCACTGAAGTTAACAGACATGATTAACTTCGGTTCATTCATTTCAATAAGTCTGCTCTGAGTAGAATGCAACTCATTTGTTCCATTTTTAGCTCTAAATGTCATTGATATATCACCCTCCATTAATTTGTTCAACCATTTTAAATATATATATGTATGTATGTGTTTCATTTATACACACCTTTTCTCCAAGGAGCACAAGATAAGCCTACATACTTTAATCCTCACAACAACCCTTGAAGGTAGGCTCAAAGATACTGACTGGCCCAGTGTCACTCAATGAGCTTCATGGATGAAACAGGATTTGAACCTGGGTCTCCCTGCTCCTGTTGCAGGGGGAAGGTATGGCCCACCAACTCCCATCAGCACCAGCCAGCATGGCCAGTGGTAAGTGATGATGGGAGCTGAGAGACCAACACCAGCTGAAGGGTAACTTCCCTACCCCTGATCTAAGAAAATGCAAAATGAACATCACTTCCCAAGACAGACAACCTACTCAGCCAACAGTCTCTACATCTTATCTGAGTTGAGCCTTAGTTTGTTGGCCCTCATCCAGCCTAGTGCTAGTTCCAGGCATTAATGATGTGTGTGGTCGAAATGTCAGCTTTCAGCCTGTAAAGACGGACTCAGCAAAAGACAAAATATGGAGAAGGCCCTGAATTCAGTATATACAACTGGGTTAATTTTCATTCTCTGTATATGCTGCCCAGCCTCTGGTGTGCCTTGAGGAAAAAGGGCATTGCTTAACCCCTAAGCATTTCAGCTTGAATTATTAAACTCTTGAATTATTATTATTATTATTATTATTGGGGGGGTGTGACATGTTGCTTCCTACAGGGAAACCAAGCAAGTCAAATTGTAGAGCCAAGAGGTGGGGTCCCAGCGGTTTTGTTGGAAACCGAGAGACAAAAGCCATGCAGCCTTTGGCTGGAGCTGGTCCAAGACACTTTGCCGCCTGAGGTGAAGGACAGCAGTTGAATGTTACTTTAAACCTGGCAATGGAACAGCATCCGCCATTTTGTCTTTTTCTGGTCAATTGGCAACTCTAAGGCTGAGGTGCTGTACATTCCCTGAGTTTAAGGGCTGTGTGGCTAGGGGATGAGAGAGAAGACCAGGCGCTCCGGACCCAAAAGTGGAATCTGGCAGGAGGGCTAGGGGATGGCCGAGAAGAATTAGAGGGTCCTGTTTCTGGTCTAAAAGGGGAAGTAATGGGGTTCCTTGGGAAGTTATCAATGGTTTCTTAAACCAAACAATAATATTCCAAAATAATATTCTAAAATTCCCAGAGTTCCCCAAGAAGGAGGACTGATAGTCAAAGCACTCTGAGAACGGTTTCTCCGTGAGGGGAATAGGGGTCTCCTAGCAACTCTCAGTACCCTTAACAAACTACAGTTCCCAGGATTCTTTGGGAGAAGTCATGACTGGCATGACACTGCTTTAAATGTACAGTGTAGAAGGGGCCTATTTCTCTTTCTGTCATAGGAATTAAACTCTGACACGGAGGGTGGGTCCTACTTAACCCCCTTCACCAATTGAATGAATACATGGAGGAGGCTATGGGGCCACGTGAGGTCTCCCCACCTACCACCATCCCCACACACCAACACCACCCTCCCCGACAGACATCTGTTTCAACATTCATTGGCAAGAGGTCTCTGCATGCACAGATGCATGTGTGGAGGGCTCCCATGTGCATTAATCCCAGGGATGTGGTGGCAACATACAGGACTAGGCTTCAAGGACCTGCAAGCCGCCATTCATCGGTTCATTCCTTCATGCAACGTGTGGAGGCAATTGTGTGTAGCAGCCCTTGTCAATTCTCCACAAGTGGAATATCCCATCCCCTTGCTGAGATTTCTGATCTCCGCCCCACTCTTCCTCCTCAGGGAGTTGCTGGCACTCTCCCGTTTGCCTCTGGTGAAGTTTTATCTGCAAACAACTAAGCAAGCAATAAATTTATCAGTAAACAAATGGCATAGATTGCCTCTCTACCCCCCCCCCCATCTCCAGCACCAACCCCCAACTCCTATTTCTTTTGTTTATACTGTATACATACCGGAGGCTCTCACGCTGTCCTAGAAACCTGGCACGTGTTTGATGTCAAAACATATGGAGATCAAAGGCCTGGAGAAGGAGGAGGAACAGCAGAGAGGAAAATTCATATCCAAAGTCCAGGTCCATTTGTAGCTCGGGGACAGGAGTGAGGCACAGGTATTGCCTTCACCTGAGAGGGGGTTTGACCCCAGAGCAAACGGGCAGTGCTGGGGCTCAGCCCTGGAACACACAATAACAGAAAATGCTTTCTGAGCACATGAACATTTCTTGGGTGTTCACAGATACAGTGGTACCTCGGGTTACATACGCTTCAGGTTACAGACTCCGCTAACCCAGAAATAATGCTTCAGGTTAAAAACTTTGCTTCAGGATGAGAACAGAAATTGTGCTCCGGCTGCGCAGCAGCAGCAGCAGGAGGCCCCATTAGCTAAAGTGGTGCTTCAGGTTAAGAATAGTTTCAGGATCTCCGAAACGAATTAAGTACTAAACCTGAGGTACCACTGTAATGATAGAACACAGCCTTTCCAGCTAATTTTGGTCTGTTGTGAATGTGCAACACGCTGGTACGCACTGCTCAATTGCTCCCCCGCCTCATTCCTCCCTTTGCACAAGTGGGATAAACAAAGCCTTGGTTTCTCGTTGCATCCAAACCAGGGCCTGTGGTTTGTTCGTTACTCCCTAGAAAGGCAAGCCAACCACAAATCATGACTGAAGGTTGGCTAGTAATTGCGGCTCATTGTGGAGGAGCAAGCAATGATCCCGAGGGGGGTCTCTTAGCAACTCTCAGCCCCCTTAACCAATGACACTTCCCAGCATCGTTGTGGGGAAGCCGTGACTGCTCAAAGTGATATGATACAGCTTTAAATGTATAGGGCAGATGGGGCCCAAGTCTCTGAAGACCAAACACTGAGGACATCATGGCATTTCTTATGCTTTGGGTTATAACAAGAGAGGACTTTCCAGTGCAACTTGCAGAACCCATCACTTAGGTTCAAAGAGCTGAGCACTAAGCGTGCTTCCACACTTTGGGGGAGCCAGCCTTGTACACAGCAAATGCTTCCTTTTCAGATAGGGAGAGGGGTTTAGTGGGCAGAGGAAACGGGTATGGAAGACATATACATGTTCTGCTTTATATCCTGGAGACTTGCAACATAGTGAGCGGAAGTTCATCAGGTGTAGCTTGTCCGAGCATTAAGTTACAGAGATCAAGGAATATGTACCTGTTGAATATTGTTCAGCAGTGACAGCTCCTCCAGAGCTCTGACAGAGGGGGAGAAACACTACAAGCCATCTCTAGGAGCATGCCAGACAAGTAACTAGGAGTCAATAGTAGTAGTAGTAGCAGCAGTAGTAGTAGTATATTACTTATACCCCACCCATCCAACAGGGTAGGAAGAGAAACAAATACTTTTTTCTATCTGTTTCTCATTTTTAAAGTCCCCCCCTACATTCCATTGCAAACATTTCATTGTTTCTGTATTATTTTCCCCCGCTGATTTAATGGGAGACCAGTCATAGAATCATAGAATCATAGAGTTGGAAGAGACCACAAGGGCCATCGAGTCCAACCCCCTGCCAAGCAGGAAACACCATCAGAGCACTCCTGACATATGGTTGTCCAGCCTCTGCTTAAAGACCTCCAAAGACGGAGACTCCACCACACTCCTTGGCAGCAAATTCCACTGTCGAACAGCTCTTACTGTCAGGAAGTTCTTCCTAATGTTTAGGTGGAATCTTCTTTCTTGTAGTTTGGATCCATTGCTCCGTGTCCGCTTCTCTGGAGCAGCAGAAAACAACCTTTCTCCCTCCTCTATGTGACATCCTTTTATATATTTGAACATGGCTATCATATCACCCCTTAACCTCCTCTTCTCCAGGCTAAACATGCCCAGCTCCCTTAGCCATTCCTCATAAGGCATAGTCAATCATCTGCTGCCTGTATATTCCTTGTTATCTATCCAAATAGGATTAAATACTACTAGCACTCCTTTCCCAAACAGGCCATCAGACCTGCCAGATTTCAGACACACTGAACAAAGGGCCCCCTGTTTCGCAGGCAATTTAAAAAACGGTGCTCTTCCTATAATCTTCACATTACTTTTAATGGGAGACCCAGGTGCATATCTCCTGCTTGTACCTTCAGTGTTCTTTATTTTGCCTACCGGCATGAAACTGTCAGGCATTCCACTACCCTGCAAAGGATTAGGTCTGCAGTGTTTTAGGATAGAACAAAAGAGTCCCCGTTTTATAGGCAATTGAAGAAGAGACACTCAGACATAGCCTAGCTTTATAGGCAATTGAAGAAGAGACACTCAGACATAGCCTAGCTGCTGTCTGAACTACATTATACGAACCAGAGCTGGGGAGCGTTCTCCAAGGGCCACATTCTAGCAGTGGGTGGGGCTCCAGAAACTTAAAAGGGTGGAAACAAAGCGCACACACAATATACAGTCACACCCTCATTCTTTCTCTCTCTCTCTCTCTCTCACACACACACACACACACACACACACACACACATACAGTGGTACCTCGGGTTAAGAACTTAATTCGTTCTGGAGGTCCGTTCTTAACCTGAAACTGTTCTTAACCTGAGACACCACTTTAGCTAATGGGGCCTCCTGCTGCTGCCGCGCGATTTCTGTTCTCATCCTGAGGCAAAGTTCTTAACCAGAGGTACTATTTCTGGGTTAGCAGAGTCTGTAACCGGAAGCATCTGTAACCCGAGGTACTACTGTACACACGAACCACATTTCTTTCTTTCTTTCTTTCTTTCTTTCTTTCTTTCTTTCTTTCTTTCTTTCTTTCTTTCTTTCTTTCTCTCTCTCTCTCTCTCTCTCTCTCTCTTTCTTTTTATTTATTTATTAAATTTCTATACTGTTCTTCATACGAGTATCACAGGGAGGCTTACAATATACAGGCGTCTCCACACATTCGACTCGTGCTCGACCCCGTGTCCGTGTGGCACTGGGAAATTATTAAATAAATCGAGTTAAACCGCAAAAAAGGGCCAGAAAAGAACAGGGAAACTGCAAAAAAAAGTTGCGAAAAGAGCATGGAAATAGCTAACAATCCCAGAAGCCTTTGCAACTGCAGTGCCACGAGCCTTTGCATCAACCTTCAAGGCTTATGTGGCGACACCCTTGTCGTTGTTTCCATGCCATCCTGCAGAGACAAGGAATACTGAGAGCCAGCATTGCCACTATTCATGCCAGTCTATTAAGTGCTGCTGGTTTTCTAAAAGGGTTTTACAGGGGTTTCCAGAGATTTAGAGGGTGTTTGCAGGCTTTTGCTATGTGTGATTTCACTTATATGTACCCGGGAGCATAAGACGCCTGTAAAAACACAAAAATGCAGAGCATAACAACACACAATAACAATTCCACCATATATTATTTAATTAAAGGCCATAGATTGTTTAATTAAACAAAGGTATTCAAACATACACACCCCTTTTACACACCCACACACCCGTTCTCTCTCACTCACACACCCCACATGTGTGCACTCACACATGTACACCCACCAGTGCCTGATTTACATATAAGCTAAACAAGCTATAGCTTAGGTTCCTATTCTCTTGGGGGCCCCAAAAAAAATTAAAGGGGGAAAAAATTGGATGTACATTTCCAAAATATAAGATAAAAAACAAATAAAATAAAACCTACATACAGCAACAGTGTTTTGTGTTGTGTAGGCTCCTATGATGTATGTAATGGGCCCCGCCTGCTAGCCTGCTCCCTAAAATATCACTGGTTTGCTCATTTCTATATATAGGGTACCTACATTCTGCATGTGCAAATGGCTTTAGATACTTATTAGGTCCATAAATTACCATATAGCATATATTCAGCACAAAAAACTGCGACAATTTGTTGTTGACAAAGGACAGCTGGACATATAAAGGACCCCATTACCTTCAGTAGCTTAGGGCCTCATCAAACCTAAATCCGGCCCTGACACCCACTGTACTTCCATGCTGTGGAGTCCCTTCCCCATTGCACAACTGATTGGCAACTGGGTTTGCAATGCAGAGTTCCCTGTTCCTGCTGCTGCGGCTTCCGCACCGTCCAGAGAGGGGGGGCTTTCCCTGCGTCAGAAGCCAGCGCAAAAGTGGCCCAGGCTGGCAAGGTAGCAAAAGGGCCCTCTGCTTCTTCTGTCTAATGGCGAAGGTTCCCCAACATCTGGAGGTTGCCCATCCTTGATCTAAAGCCACACCCTGTATAACCTTTCTGTGACCTGTGCAGGTTCTTCTAAAAGAAAAAAGAAAAGCTTTCCCCTCTCCTTTTTCACTATTCTCTCTCTCTTCCTCTCCCTCCCTGTGACCTTCCTGCGAACTGCACATAGTGTTCTAGTCCGGTTCATCAGTGCAAAACAATGCCTCCGATGCAAAACAGCTAAAAGTGAATGAACAAACAAATGAACTGGGGTTTTTTTTGGTTTTTGTTTTTTCATTTCCATCAGCTCAAATTCCCATGCATTTGTGCTAATGAAAATGAATGAACAAACGGGGCCTCGTCGTTTGCTTAGATTCCCATTTGTTTCTAAACTGTCCCATTAGACGCACAAAGTGCACTTTCTGGAAACATCACGTGTTGTCCAACCAGAGAGAGAGAGAGAGAGAGAATTTAGTGCATTCACCTGAAAGCATCAAGAAGTCCCCTCCAGACTTCCCACTCATTGCCAAAGGTTGCTTCCTGGATATGCCTGGAGTTCACACATGCACGCCCCATATACATGTTTTATTCCCACATGTTATTTTGAATGGGTGAGGGGGCTTTCTCTTTCTCTCCATCCCCTGGAACGTAAGCATGTTAGCACTTGCTATCCTCCTGGGATCTAAGGATCCCAGACTGAACTTCAGATGTCCTGGATTTTGCGTTCACGCCAAGGATTCAGAGTTCCTGACTCTTCCAGGCTGGAAGTGGGATCTTAAGGTGCTGGGGAGTTGCATAATTACCGAGCTCTATAATTCCGAGACTCTGATTTGTTTGGCCATCACATCCTCCAGTCTGGAAATCTGAAAACTCAAGAGATGATGTATACACTGGTGCAAGAAAGGAATTCTGCACATTTGCAAAAGCTGCCC